TCGAGGGTCCCACAAAAAAAAAGAAAGAAAGAAGAAAGGGAGACAAGGAAAAGAAAAGAGGAAAGGAACTAGGTGGTAGAGTTTTACTCCTATTTCTATTGTGCTCAGAAGTTTAATGCAAGGGCTGTGCTCTTGAAATTTTGGATATCTTGAATTTCTATAAATACATCCATTTCATTCAAACTTCCCCTGAAGATTTGAAAACATAACTTCTTTGAATACATATGGATGCATTTAAATATAAAATCACAACAGATTATGTCTTTTTTCATTTCTCTATTCCTAGCCTGAGCACGATGCCCCTCACTATCAGGTTCTCAATATAAGTGAATGAATAAATGGATGGATGAATAAATGAAGAAACTATGTTTCTGGGTAGGCTGGATGCAATTTCTGATCCTCCTGGGGCCACCATGAAATCCATGGTCTTGAAGTTTGTATGTCCAGCCGGTTTAATGAAGTCATCCTTAGGAGAGTAGTGAGACTCTGGATTGCAGATTCATAGTCACAAAATTCGTAACTCATGTGGCAGAGTCAATATGATCATTTACACTTAAAACATCACTGTTAAGGTCACTAAAATAATAGGGCTGGGTCTTGTTAAAGGAGTCTCTGGGAAAAGAAAATCAACATTTGAAGACAGCCTGATGAAAAGACTCAGGGTTCAGTGTGCACTTAATATATTTAGATTTAGTTGAATAAGATAAGGCAGGGTTGAGATGGGTTGGAGACATAAGGTAATGCTAAGGGGTTATATCATGGGAAGTAACAAGCCATCTCAGATTTATAGCCTAGAGCCAGTTAACTGTTTTCTAATATGTACGAAATTTTATTAATGTAGATTCATTTGACAATAAAATAGAACAGGGTCAAGGCTACACTTTGGGCAGAACACACATAGGAACTGAGGCTTCCAGTAGACATATGAGCTAAGAACCATGCACCAAGGTCAAAAATCAATTCTCTTGAGTTGTTAGTGCAGAAACCAGGCTCTGCAGTACATTATGACTAAAGACAAGAATGGGAATGGAGGGTGACAGCCTGAGGCAAGGAGTGAGGAGCACTTTAACAGCTGGGGCAGCCTGCACAGGACTCTGTGGTCAGGAAGGACCTAGCTCTAGATGAATAATGTATGGCCAGAGTAGTCTCTAAAAAGGGAATGCCAATCCATGTAGTCTTGGCATTACTCAAAATCTACACTGCTTAATAGAAATATAACAATATGAAGCATATTTGTAATTAAACATTTTCTAGTAGCTGCATTTAAAAAATGTAAAAAGAAAGAGGGCATAATTTTATCAATATCTTTTATTTAAGCAATGTATCCAAAATATTGTTATTTTAAACTTTAAGCACACTTAAAGTATACAAAACTCATATGTGATTAATGACCACATTATAACTCTAAGCTATGCTAAAGGCAGAACACTGGAATTAATAACATTACAGTTTCAAGGTCACCAGCAAAGCCTTTTGTTATTGTAATATCTCAAATTACAGTTCCTAGTATTACCATTTCTAAAGTCTTAAAGAACAATGCTTTACAGATTGATTCTGGCCTCTACCCATTACTAATTGTGATCTTAAGCAAGTTACTTAGTCTCTTTGAGCCTGTTTCCTCACCTGCCAAAATGAGCAAAATAAATGTTCCCCTAAAAAACTACTTCGAGAATTAAATAATTGGGTCCTTAGGTGGCATTCAGCAGCTAGCTGCTCCTTTTGCTTCTCCATTACTCAAGACAGTACATCTATTATTGCTTCCTCCTGGAGCTGTTGGCTTTCAAATCTCAACTCTGGTGGCTTGCTTTCTTTATCCACACTCTGCAACCTCCAACATCCACATTGCTTATCATAATCTGACATCTGAGATGTACCAACTCTGACCTTTTCCTTTTCCTCCTTATTCTTCTACAAGCACAGAGCATTCATAGGCATTCTTACCTCATTTAGCGGTCACATTTTTGTGTGTTCCTTATTGGTTCCTGGAACAAGTAATGACACCTGACCAAAAGCCCAGTGCCTAAGCTTTGTATTTAGACACAGAACTCAAAATAGATAGCTTCTCTCCTTCATGAATTGCCTGAAATTATCACCTTGTACCCTACAGTCCATAGGATCCTCCAGTCTACTTATTTCCAGAGTGATTCTCTAGATCCTTGGGCCTAGAGAAGAGGGAGCAGGTCTACACTGAGAATTGCTCTGTGTACTGTGGAGCATAATAAAACTGCATCATTCATTATTCCATAAAGTGCCATCACAGACAATATAGCATATCATTATCTACAGCATTTATCTTAGATGGTTTTATGAATAAGCAAATTGTTCCTGAAATTAGTTGATAAGCAACTTGAAAGCAGGGATAAGACTTATGAAAGGTAACCTCCCAGTATACTGTATTTACAGTATACCTCTCATAGTCCTGTGTACACAGTGGGGGTTCAAGTAATTTCTCTGCTATTGCTTAATTACTCCTGGAAGGTTTTCTAGTCAGAAGAAACAAGTTTGTAGACGCACAGGAATCCAGGAGTACGAACAAAGTGTCTGGGGTTCTGAGCAGGACCCATCAAATTCTGCAGCAGGCAGCATTAGCATGAAGCAACCAACTATCATGCTATTTCAAGACCTGCAGGGACACTTGTTATAGTTGAGCTGGCATAGCAAGGGCTCACAACACTTACAGCGCAATCCCCCTTCCACAGACCGAGTTCTTGGGCTGGGCAGAGGCCAGAATTTTGAGACTTGGAACAGAATTTTGAGACTTGGAAACCGAAAAACCTCGAGAACCCAAGCGGCGATTATCCAAACACAGAATCTAAATATTATAACTGACTGTATGCGGGTGGGGAGGAAGAAGTGGAAAGGGAAGGTGGTTGGAGTACAGGAGTTAGGTGAGCAACTTTATTCCTCCTTGTTTCAAAATCCAACCCACTGCATCAGGTACCAGGTACCCTAGAGAGCCCCACCTGGGGGCCAGGATGGGCTCAGCTGGGCCAGGAGTGACTGGAGAGGCAGAAAACAGTAGGTTCCCGCATTCACATCTCGTGCTTACCACGATCACCACTTTGGGAGTAGGGCCCTTAACCTCCCGCTGTACGATGCCAAACCGCTGGCTGTACATTTTCTAGTTCCTTCAGAATAGGGGTGGAATACACCGCGGCTCCCCAGCCGCTGCAACCAGCACTGTTAGCTTCCGCGACGCGTAGTTCTCGTTGCCATGGTGCACCTCGCGTGAGAGGCGGAAGTTGGCCCCGTCACCATGGTGACCACGGAGGCGGCACTGGCGACATCCTCTCGGACGGGAGTTGACGAGCCTGCGCGATCCTCGGCCCGCCCGTGGCCTGGCCTCCCGCCAATCTCAGTCCCTTCCTCTAGAGTTCCCCAGAAAAACAGGAAAAACCTTCCTTACCCAGAAGTGAAGGCAAAGATCTAATCACAAGCCAATTGATTTTTCTATTTAGACCCTGTAATCGGTCTAAAAACCTGAGGTAAGTGAACATTTTGTGGAAAGGCTAAATTTTGTGGCCATCTCCAATTTAATCTTGATGATGAGCATAATAATCATCACAGGACCACCTTATATTTGCATAGTTCTTTACAGTAATTTGCAAGGTATTTTCACACATAAAACCTTTGAGCCTCACATATATCTTACACGGTTAATGGAACAGCAGGTATTACCCTCATTTTACATCTAAGACAATTAAGGCTGAAAGCCTAAGTGCCTCCTCAGCCCATTCAACCAGCAATTATAACTCTTATTAATAAAACCCTAGGGCGTATCCTTGGGGCGCCCTAGGATGGAGGGGGGTAGCTCAGAAGGGCCAGAAGGGCAGTGACACAAGGTGGCTGGCACAATGAAGATGGAGAGTCTGGGTCTAGGGCCACAATGAACCAGGGTAAGGAAGTGGGTCACAAGCGCAGGTAAAAGGGCCCCAAATTCCGGATCGAGAGTAACAGGCCGTCCAGACTGGGATCCTGGAGGGGCCCTAGCACAAGTGGAGGCTATAGCTGTACTTCTGGTCAAGATCAAGGTGGAAGTTAACACCTAAAAGCTGCTCATGACACCACTTTCGTGCTCACTCTAGAGGGAGGAAGGGTGGGGAGCACGGAAAAAAGAATTCTGTGCTAGTCAGTTACTGACGTGTAATAACAATGAACGTACAACTAGTTGTGTGTCCCGTCCTAAGGCCGCAATTTACTGTAACTTAGTATTCCTTAATCATTTGTAATCCACCCACTTGGGATTCTGAATGTGGTACGGTTCTAGGTTTGGATTCCACTTCCTGAATTGCTGGTTCAGTTTTTCAGCCACAAAAATAATGTCTCTTTCTTCTCTTTTAATAATTCTCATATTGTCTTTTTTCCTCCTATAATGCTTCTTCTTTCAATTGCAGTTCGGTAAAATACTCATTTTCACTTACTGCTAAGAGTTTACACAGCCTGAAACAAACAAGAGAGAGAGAATTAGCTGGTCGCAGGGGCTCCGGGGGGTCCGAGGGCCAGCCGGCTCCTAGAGATGGGCGGCCCGCAGGACCCCGCCCGCAGTGGGTCAGAGCGGACCCGCCCCCACACCACGCCTTGGGGAGAAAGGCCAGGAATGAAACCTCCGCCCGCAGGGGCCGGGAACGCCGCTGAGACTCCCGGGCGCCTGTCGGGCAGCCCCGAGGATCCCGTGAGTCGGCGACATCAGGCTGCCCTCGCATGTCCCGGCGTCGGTCCTGAGCTCGTCGCGCCGCGCCCTCACCCTGAACGAGTCCTGGAACTTAACTCCGGTTCGGCTTTGCCAGTTTTGCCATTGCACGAAGCGGGGCTCGGCCTTCTCCCGGCGGCCCTCGGACCGACAAGTCGCTGGCGGAGGCCACGCCCCGGGGCCAGCGGGCGGAGGGCGAGGGGCAGCGTTTCCCGCCCCGTGGGCTGACCGCACCGCCGGCGCCCCCTGGCGGGCACATTCCAGGTTGGTGGGGCCGGGCGAGGCGCTCAGCACGGTGAGCACGAACCTTCTGCCACCCCCGCCCTTCCCGGGGTGCCTAGAGAAGTGATTTGCCCAAGGTCACTGGACAGAATCCGACCTTGATCTTGCCACCCACTATCCCCCACTTTCTCAGAAACAACACTGTTACCACCGTCACAACCATCCCCAAAGAAACACTAAATGAAATCAGTAAATGGGACAAAAATCATTTTAAAAACTTTAAAATAGAACAGCTTAAAGATAGAAACTATATTATTTCCAATTCCTATTATGCCCCAACAAGGTTCACACAAGGGCTGTCCTCCCAACAGTTTCCTGCATTCTATATATTCACCATTAAACTCCATGACAAAGTTGGAAATCCATTCACCATTTGTAATACATAATGAGGCATTTAATAAAATTGCAAGGACTATATCTTTTTCGTTCTTGTATCCCAGTATTAAGTACAGCGCCTACATGGGCCAGGCTCTCAATACTCGATGAATGAAAGGAAAAAAAAAAAGCCGAGACCAGCAAGTTTTTTCTGGGTGGCCTTGACAATTTCTGTACTTGCTGGGGTCACCATGAAATCCATGGTCTTCAGCTTTGCATTTTCACCAACGTAGGTTTATCAAGTTATCCTCAGGTGAGTAGTGAGACCCTTGGGAGCTGATTCATGGCAGGTGGCTTTGTAATGTGTCACCTTGACTAGGCTACGTTTCCCAGAACTCCCTTCCCCGTATGCTTCCGGATAAGATGGGCCACATTTTGTGTGATAACTGGAGGGCAGAAGTGAAGCAGCAGCATAGTTTTTTACACTTGGAGGGTTGGTGCAGGGGCACCAGGCACTGTTGCAGTTCACACATGTTGTCATTTATCTGCTGGCTCACCTCGTTGGTGTGGGGCAGCAGTCAGGCCTGCATTCAGGCCTGCAGCTGCTCCACCTTGCCCGGGTCTTCCTTCGGCTTCTCTAATTCCTGGGCCAGATGCATATTTAACTCTGTGATGAAGGGCACCAGCTTCTGCAGGACACCCACATCATCGAAGCTGGAGGTGGTGAGAGACTGACATGGGTTCCAGGCCATCCTCGTGGGTTCCAGCTCGTGCTCCTGGGCGCCAATGTGTGCTTGGTCTCCTGCACTTTATGTCCATCTTCCTTCCTCGACTGCCTGCCCTGCAGACTTCAAGCTCCAGCATTAGATGCAAAGACAACAGCCTTACAGACTGTTTAACCAGCTCCCACAATTGCATGCGGTCAAATTCCTAAAAATCCCTTAAAATATATATACACATATACACATACATATATATATATATATATATATATATATATTCATATTAGTGGTGTTTTTCTGATTGTATCCTTATACACATAGTAACCAGACTCATCTTAATGAGTCAAGTCACCAAATATATTTTGCTTAAGTTATTACTGCTAAAATTATCAGAGTAGTAGGGCTGGGTTGCTAGATCCTGATGGGGGTGGGTGAGGGGATGAGAAGCAAAATAGTATCAAAAAATTATCCAATCTTGACTGGCTGAAATAGGAAGGGCAAAGGCAGTGGGGACAAAGAAGGGTGGCAGAGGACTGTATCATAAGTTAAAGTAGGGAGATGACTAATCTACATGTGAATTATCTAAAGCTGCAGGCTGGGGCTGGAGTAAGGCAAGGGAGGCACACAGGATACAAAATCTGAGGCAGCAGGCCCTTGTCTCGGCCCTGTAAACGAGCTAGGTTATGAATCGCAAGTCTAATCTTTTTGGCACTTTGTACAAAGAATGAGGCAAGGCTAAGCCAAAACTGGTCCTTAGGCAGGACCTGAGGCAGGAACTCATGCTCATTGTAGAGAGGGGCCCAAGCAAAAACCAAGCACAAAGCTCGCCAAGGGGTAGGGATGCTAGTAGTAAGGGAAGATGAGTCAGGCTACTAGTTTCACTTCCAAAGACTGCTTCAGCTGATATGGGGGACCGAGGCCAGTCCTTCCTAAAGGATCTCCTTTAGGCTCCGAGAAACCCTATGCAGCACTGAGATCTGCGAAGAACCCAGTCTCCAGGTGCATGGTGATCTGACAAGGTAAGCCCATCTAGTCTTGGCACAACCTAAACCAAGATAGAGGCTGGAGTATAAGGGGTTTGCAATCCACCTTGTTTTCAAGAAGGCTGGAGACTCGTTATGTTACACGTACTGAATATGGGTTAAAGTTTATAGTAGAGTGCTTATAGAACAAGGTCTTACAACCTAAGTTTGATTACAGACTATTAATACTAGCTGTTTGATAATGAACAAGTTACTTCATTTCTTTGAGTCTGTTTTCTCATCTAAGGATATGGTCAAAAATCAGAGTCTCCCTAAATAAACTATCCATAGGAGAAACTCACCAAATAGCAGTTCCTTGCCTTACTCACATTATATATTTTCAAAATCTGTCCCCCTGAGGAAATGTTTATAGAGATACCACCAGGTTTTATCCAAAGGCCATTTAAAATTATTTATAATGACGGCTTGTTTAGGCGGTTTTGTGGTGGTTTTAACTGCATCCCCTTCCCAGCCCAGCTCCCCCACCTTCATATCCACACTTCTTATCACACTCAGGCTCCTGGGATTTGCACCAGTTGGAACAGATGTGCCAACTTTCTATCCTTTCTCTTCCTTTCCTGCTTATTTCCTCTATGAGCTCGAAGTACCGAACATCCCTGCTCCTCTGGCTTGGTGGTAGGTTTTTCTAGTCCCTATCGACTCTACCAAGTCCTGGCAATAAGTCTACAGTCCAGCCTCTGAGTGGACCAGTGTTGCCTCTCATAAAGACAGCCTGTAAATGTCAGCTTGACTCCCACAGGCTGCAGAAAGCCTCCAGTCTACTGCTTTCTAGCTTCAGGTTTTTAAGGTCCTTAGACCTAGAGAAGATGGAGCAGGTCTGTTGGTGAATGAGGTTCACTACGTGCAAAGGAGCATCACAAAGCCATTTCCTAATATTCCTGGTCTGCCATCCACTGCCCTTGCGTTATCCCTCCTCTCTCTTCTAAAACCTTCCATTACAAGCAACACAGCATATTCTTATCTTCTCTGTTAAAATTCAGTGATTTCATGCATAGAGAAGTTGTTTCCTCAGACAGACTAGAAGGCCCCAAAGGCAGGGATTCTGTGTCCCTGAATGCTGAACCTTCTAAGGCCACTGCATTCACCACTCATCTCCCACACTGCAGGGGCTCAATCAGTTCATCTGTAGTTGCCTAAGTACCCATGAAAGGGTTTCTGTCCCGTTGGAATTGGCTGGCAGTGAAAAGGGAATCCAGGTACTTAGTAGTTCCCATGGCCTGTGCCTGGGCCTCGGTCAGGGCCTGTCAACATTCTGCAGGAGGCAGCAAGCTCCTCTCTTCCTCCCCCCCATCCCAGTCCTTACAGAACTCAGTCTTGCTCCTGTTTCAGACCTGCAGAGTCAATTCTTTGCAGCCACTGAAACTGCTAATAACCTCCATAGGCTCAGGAAAGGCTAAAAAATACACAGCCTTACCCCCTCTGGAGAGGATGTTCCAGAAGATGCAGGGCTAGCCCAAGATCAGACGTATGTGTGGACCCAAATCACACAGCCATCTGAGGACCCAAATTTCCCACCCACCCACCACTGCCCGGCCCACCTGGTCATCTCTTGGAGACTCCAAAAGCTTTCAAGACCCCAAATGATGATTCTCTGAATAAGAATTTATGTATTAGATCTAGCCCCTGCTAGATTTTCTTAAGGAGATAAGGACCAGGATTTCCTTATCTTCCTTTTTCTTTCAAATCTCATCACAGGGTACTAAGTCCTCCCCAACCCAACTCCCACCACCACACCCTCACCCCAAGATAGCCCTGATCTTGGCCTCAGGAGAACCACTAAGGCCCTGCACATGTCCCTCTCTAATCACAATCAGTGCAGTGGTACTGGGTCTTTACTTCCCACTGTGTCATGCTAAATGGCTGTTCATTCTTTCAAAACTCAGGGCCCATATCTGGCTGGTATCCACCCATCCCTACCCCTCACTGTGTGGGGCACACCTTGGCAACCAGACTGCTGTGTCCCGGAGGCGGGTTCCACCCAGGCTGAAAATCTCCGTGATCTAGGGAAAAATTAATATCATGAGTCAACATGGCCAGTGGGGCTAAAGCAGGGTCAGGGAGGGTGGGGTGTCCCCCATCACTGACCACAGGTGTGCCAGCCCCTCCTGCCTCCTCCTCTGGGGCCGAGTCAGAGGCGGAGTCCTCCTTGTCCTCCTCAGGGTCAGGTGGCTCCTGCTTCACAGGTAGCAGGCCTGGGTCTACTGCCTGGGAGAGGTGGGAAATGGGCAGTAGTTAGGAGGGCAGGGCTGGTCTCAGAAAAGCCCCAGTCAAGCGGTTACTTTGCTGACAAATCCCTCTTCAGTCATACCTCAGCACAGAAAAGCCACCTGTCTACAAACTTGTCCCATTCCCACTCCTCATACCTTTCAATTTTCTGTTAGTTGGGCAGCAAAGTAGGAAAAGCTAGTTAGTTGCCTAGGGAGGATGGGTCAGGGTATTTTTGTGGAGAGGCAGCAATCAGCAGACCTATTATTGCTCTGCTCCAAGCAGCACCAGCATAGCGCAGCATCACTCTACTCACAGACCACTCCCCACTGACCCCCACCTTGCTGGGGCAGCCAGGCAGCAATACAGGCGAAGTCAGGATGGCTGTGCCTGGTGTCCAGTCTTCCTGGGCATCCGCCTTCTCTTGCTTCACCTGGGGTAAGGCCACAACCCAACTCAGGCCAGGGCGCTGGGCCTCCTGTGTGGAGGATTGCAGCAAACTTGGTCCCAGCTCCCTGGCACGAGGCTAGCTGGGTTGAAAAGAGAGTATGATAAAGGAAATCCTCACCTGTAACAGGGCTTCTGTGGTAGCCGGGGCAGGGCCAGGCACCTGCACCGGACTGCTTGCACCCTCCCGTAAGAACACAAGGTCAGTGCCGGGTGGGGGCAGCACGAAGCCACCACCTGCCTCCTGCTTCATTAGAGTCTGAGCTCGGTCTGCTCGGGCTGTGCGCTTGGCCAAGGGGGGCTTCACTGTTGTGCCCAGCCCAAGCCGCCGAGAAGAGCCAGGCCTCTTTCGACGAGGGTAAGTTGGGGGTGGCTCTGCCCCATCTTCAGGTCCTTCCCAGACACTTGGCAGCAGCCGCTTCTGTGAGGAAAGATAAGGCATTATGGCCGCCTGGTGCAATGACACAACAAATCACCATGCCTGCTAAATTCCCATTAGGGTCCAGCACAGAATCCACTTACATGCGAGTCTTACATCACTGAGTCTGCTAGTCTCCTGTTAACAATGCCAGCCTCCTCAATTACCCCAACACAATGTCAACTATTGGTCAAACCACTACCCTCCTTAACCCTCCCAAGCTGTGAGCTCTCATCCAGCCTGCCCCACTTACCTTCCAGGCCTCCAAGGCACTAGGGAGCCTGGCCCAATTTAACCCACTGACCCTTCCTGCCTCACTCACCATGGCAAACTGCAGGCACTGGCGCCAACGACACTTCTGGCGCTTCTGGTTGCTGCCCCCGAACTTAGGCTTGTCGCAGCAGAAGTCGCAGTGACCACAATCCATCCGCCGTAAGCAGGCTGCACAGGCCCCACACTTTCGGTTCTGCCGGCGATTTGTGTAAGGCTGCTGGGGGGAGGGAGAATGAGGCTGCTATCACTGGGACCACTGCGGTGCCGCTCCTGTTGCTCCACCACTAGCCCCACTGGAGGGAACTGGTGGCACTGCCCTTAGCCTGACTCCCCACTAGTCACATCTCCCTGACTGCTCGTCAGGCACTCAGTGTACCTACCAGCTGCCCCTTTATGCCATGAGGATGACTACTCCATCACAGTACCTACCACTCTACCTGCCAGTCTCATCACCTACGAAGACGTCATCTTTGACTCTACCTTCAGCAAGGTACTGCTGACCCTCCAGAAGCTCCTAATATGGTGTCTGCGTCTATTCATCCTACATGAACCCTGGTCACTGTGTTGGCTGTTTCTCTACTAGCCCCACCAAAGCACTGGTTCATCTGAAATTAGGTACTAATTTCATGAATCTCTACACCTGCTAACCTCATTTTAGCCCCCAACTGCTCACACCCATTATTGACAGTACCCGTTACTATGCCTTATTGTTCCCCTATTGGAGTCATTAAAACATCTGCTTCTATGGGTTTAGCCAAGTGTCCTGGGAGAGTCTAGGCTTGTCCATGTTGGGTGGGGCCACTCACTAGCTCGTCCTCGTCTACACAGTAATAGATGAACTCGGCAGGTGGCGAGGGGGCCAGGGTTCTGGGGTGCTGCAGAGGCAAATGGGGTGGGATCAGGGCAGATACTGGGGTACGATTAGGGTTGTGCCTTCCCCCTGCCCACCAGGGCCTCACCAGCTCTGGGGACCCTGGAGGTTGTGGTGGGGGAAGCGGAGGCAGCGGCTGGGCTCGGGGGCGCCGCCTGGCAGTCGTCTTAGTGTCACAACCTCCCCTACGGCGGCTATGTTTACCCTGGGAGAAAACCAAAAGGGTGATTTATTAGACTTGGTGGCACAGGACCCAGAAACCCCAACCCCAGGACCCAGGAGTGCAGAGAGCATTCAAGGGACAGACGGGCAGAGGGTTGGGTGGTGCACTCACAGCAGGGGGAGCCACAGCTAAAGGAGGGCGTCGTTGACATCTCTGATGGTGGCGACGGAGGCGGTGGGCAAGGTGCTGGCAGACAGGGGAAGGAGGTAGGGTCAGGGAGGTAAGCATGGGGCAGGGGGAGAAAAGAAGACATGAGGTGGGCAAAGCCAAGTTGGGAGGAAGCAATAGCAACTTCAACAGCAAGATGAGATCTGCCCCAACCCTCACCCTGTCAGTACTGGCTCCCCAACCTGACTTACCCGCAGGCAGCGCCGCTGGACGCACCTCCACTGGCGCCTGAGACCAGGGCGGGGAGGGCGAAGGCAGATTCGGCAGCGGCCACAGTCCTCTCGAGTCTGACAGCCCCGGCACACTCCACACCCTCGGCTCTGTAGGGGAGCCAGAGGCATGATGCATGCAGCCAGGCCCTTGAGGGCCAGAAGTGAGGGTGAGCTTTGGGTCCACTGCACCTGCCCAACTCACCCTTTCCACGATCCGGAGGCACCGTCTCCGCTCACACTTGCAGAATAGCCCCGAAGCCACATCATGGGGCAGCTGCAGAAGGCAGGTGGAGCAGGCCCCGCAGTCCTCGGTCACCTGGCAGGCTGCACACTCCCCGCAGCCCACACGCTGCCAGGAATGGGTGGGGCAAGGTCACAGGCCCAAGCAGAGTGGCTCCAGGAGCACTGCCCCTCACGTGTCTGCCGGCCCCACATTAGCTCCCATCACCATGTCTGCTAGTTGCCCATTTGCCTCATCACTGTATGTGATAATTACTGATTTCTGCGACCACTGAAGCTGTCACAAAGTCTACTGGTCCCCGACTAACCTGTCATCATGTCTACTAACACCCCATTAACTCCAATTACCACCTGCTGGTTGTGTTTGCCTACGAAATGACTCTGACACCCTGTAGACCCATCAACATTTGTCAGACTCTCCAGCAGCCCCCACTACAACCTGTTTCCACCACATACTTATGAAAAGGCTGGTTTTATTTACCTTAAACATCCTCTGCTCCCGGTTGAAAGCAATTCTCTGTGCTAGGGGTAGGGAAAGAGAAGGAGAAGTGGAAAGGGAGAAGAAACAACTGTCCTCAGCCACTGATATCCGCCATTCAGCCTTTAGTCTAGCCTGACACTGCTCCAGCTCCTCTCTCCCAATACCCCCAGGGCCACTCACCTCGGCAGTCCTTGCATAATGTTTTGAGCCTCTGCCTTCGGGTACCATCTCCTGCAAAGCTGATTCCACAGTTCTCACAGCACCTGGGATGGAAAACACAGGTGTAGGGCCCTGAACGTACCACAACCACAACCTTCACTCACTAGGCTCACTTTAGGCCAATACTCACCCAGGTGCAGGGAGTGAAGCTGGGGCAGTGGCAGCGTCAGTCTTCGGCTCATCCGCTGGAGCTTCCTTCCTGACCTCACTTTTCTGGGGTTTAACTTGACGTTTCTGAGTCTTGGCTGGCTTTGAAGGCTTCTTCCGCTTTTTGTTGGGGACGGCCACGGAAGGGGCCTGAAGATGAGAGTGAGGAGGAGGCTGTAGGTCAGTGGGTGGGTATTAGATGACTCGGTCACCCCTGCACAGCTTTCCCACAATGCGTAGTACCTTGGGAGCGGGATAGCACAGGATGCCTTGTTTGAAGTCGAAGAGGGTGAGGTCACACGCGGGGCCCAGGTAGCGGGTCAGTTCAACTTTGCTTCGGATCCTGTCTCCTGTGGGGCTGAGGGTAGGCCAGGATGAGCTGGCACCCAGACTGAGCTGCAGCTCCACCCACACAAGCCTCCCACAGGACTGGTGAACAGGCCCACAGGGTTGGTGAGATGTACACGAGGCAGCCTGGGAATAAGCCCTGACCAGATGCCACCACAACTAATTCTGAATGACAGGAATACAAAAGGTGAATAAATACCAACATACATACAAACAAACACTAACAAATTTAACATGAATGTAAATGGGCATACATGTACTTCAACATATACTACTACTGGTATTCTATACAAGTAAAGGCAAAAACAAACAAGATCATAAATACATAACATAAAATGAAAATGTACTAGTGTGATATGCCAGATACGTAAGCAAGCAAAAAAACAACAACAAATGTTTTAAAAATACAACATAAACAAGCATACATCTAAGTGCAGGCACCATCATACATATAAAAGAATAAATGCAACTACATAGAAAATCAAGTTTGTGATGTTGGGTAACAATACTCCAGAGGTTTCTTACTTTTCTTACAAGAAGCATGGATTGTCCTTTGTTATGAACTATCTTTTTAAGGATATTTGTACAGCAAACAGCCGTGGAAATAAGGGAGAGGGTCTCCATGCAAAGGGAAGGTATCCCTACTATCCTTACATTATAAAATATTTGATTACTTAAGCTCAGAGTTCTTTTCCTATAGCACAGCCTCGTGTACATGCAGGTGCTGGTTAGCCCTCTTTATATCACACTATGGGGTTTACAGGACTGGAGGCTGCTAATGCTGTGAGTGATAAACTGTCTTTCACTTCTACCAAGGAGTCTTAGATTCCTACCAGCATCCATGAACTGTGACACACTTGTTTCTTGCCCTAAAATTGCCAATCCTTTATAAGTCTTGACAACTGAATATATGTTTATAAACTTTGAGAGCTTTCTACAAGTATAAATATGTGAATTAATGTATGGCTAAACATTATTATAACTTCACAACATTTTTCTAGGAAAACAGAAACAGATACAAAAGTAATTCAGGAAAAGTATAGAAAATTTAGCAATTACATCACCAATATATACTAAAACACTTTAAATCCTTAATTGTAAATTATTTACTAAGTATACTAATAAAATTGTTAAGTCTGCTTAATTGTGAATTATAAGTACATAAATGTAAAAACAATAACAGTCAAGAAGTATACTAAACATACACCTATGTATTCAATAGCGGTCATTATTCATAGTAGTTGCATTCTATGAAGTCACTTTGAACACTGAATTAGTGAATACGGGACCACCGCTCCTAGAAGAAGTATAGGTTACCTCCTGTAAGTATCTGGTCCCAACATTTTGGTCAACTGATCAATATATAACCTTGTTTTACATGTATTTAAAGATACCCTACTTATATATTTTTCTTACCAACAATTAATAGCACAGCCTCTGAATGACGAAAAGCCAGTACCTGTGCAGGCCATTTGCGTTAACACAGGTTCTTTCCCAGTATCTCAACATTGAAACAACAAGCCAGTCTCCTCAGCATTGAAAACCTGACTTCTGCTTAGCCCTTTTCATAGACAACAGTTAGCAAATATTTTTCAAACTCACATAATCTGCAGAACCTGCCTCACATGCAAATTTAACTTTTTTCACACTGTATCACCTTTAGAAAGTGTGAGCTGATCAGAACTAGCTGAGACGTGTTTAACATTTTCCTAACCCTGGGTAACATGAATGTCAATGTCCCTAGCTTTCAACCTGACAATATGTTTCATTTTATGGGTCATCATCTCATAGATCCACAAATTTTGAATTTTTCCACCTTTTCCATGACTTCATCACACACTGTAGATGTTGCTTTAACACTCTCTGGAGCTGTCTCATACATAAACTTGCAAATTTCCGCTTCTTTTTCTAGATGTACCATGTTTTTGACTCATTCACATTGAATTCATAGTCAACAGTACTGCAATTCATGCCTGAACAAAGCTCAACACATATTTTCTCTTCACAGCATATCATAATCTTCCTCCACTTACAACACTAGAAAGAACTTCACCACTATGCTTGGGGTCACTGTGAACAGCAAAATCACCAGTAAAAAGTTCAAAAAAGCAAAAACATTGGCACTAAGCAGTTGCAGAGAAAGACACCATTTACAATACAAGAGCTAAACAAGAAGCACAGTGAGTGTTGACTTTATGAGTACAAATTTTAGGGAGTAGGTGAATTTGAAAATATGGATACCTAGGACTGTACATGCATAAATTTTATCACATACCCTTGATGTCATCTAACCAGAGCCTTTCCTCTGACTGCCACATCCCACCCAGTACCTCTGGTAATAGGTGTCTGAGCGTCCACAGGTGGCACCTGACTTGCGAAAGACCTCGCGGCGCTTCCAGCCAGGGCCCAGGGCTGGGCAGTCCAGCCAGTCCTCAGCCATGGGGGCCACGGGAAGGAGCAGCGGCCTGCAATGTGGAGGGCACAATTGGAGAAGCTGAGGTTCTTCGCGGGGAATATATTGTGCCCCAGGCCACACAAAACACGATTAATGACTGTCCAAAACCTGAGACCTGCCACAGTCAACTGACCAGAAAAAAAAAAAAAAAAAAAAATTCCATTCCACCCCACCCTTCCCATCAGGCCCAAGTGTTTGTCATCGGCCGCCCTTCCTGACAGTTCTCAGCATGAGAACCCATCTCCCAGCTGCCAACCTAGGGAAGCTCTCATTCTCCCCCTCCTCATTCCTGCTTTTCATGGCCCCAGAGACACTTTGACCTACTGACTCTTATTACTCCTCTTTGTTACCCTGAGATGTCCACGGCCCCACTCTGATTCACCACAGGCAGAGATCCCCAGTGCTCTCCCATTTCCACGTCTGCCTCCTGCAACCCAGCCATCTCCTCTTTCCCTGTGTGTCTGAACTCTCCCTCTTCCTCCCTTGCTCCGCGTCTTCTTAACCTGCTCCAGGTGTCCCCTGCCAGAGCCCCCAACTGCTCCACATCCCTGGCCCTAACAGCCCCTCATTCCTTTTCCCTGTCTGAAAAAATGCCCCCACTCCGCCTCCCATTATCCCTCTCCATCAGTGCTGAGCGGGAACGCCGCCCCAACCCCAATCCCCAGGCCCCCTTCCTCTCCTTTCCAGCTGAAAAGTTCCCTCACCACTGCTCTCCGGGCCGCTCATGCCTCATTTCGCTCATCCTCCTGATTTCCCCCCTCAGGGCTCCCCCAATTCCTCTGCAATCCTGCCCCAGAACCATGCCATCCCTAACTGTCAGCCTCCCACCCCCAGTCCTCCTCGCCCTCCAAATAAGCCCCGTTCCCTGCCTCGCAGCATTCCGAAGCCCCCCGTTTGCCCCGTCCTCAGTGTGAGAGCCCCCCGCTCCTGCTCCCCAGCACTCGGGGTCCCCACTTCTCGCCCCTTGGCCGGAGAGGCCCCGAGGCCTCGGATCCGCGCTGGGATCCTTTTCCGTCCCCTCCGTCCTCAGCCCGGTCCCGACACGTCCACCTGTCAGCGCCCCGAGCCCCCCGCCCGCCCGTCCTGCGCGTGAAGCGCCTCGGTCCTCGCCGTCAGGATCCCGACGCCGCCATTCCTCCCACTCAGCGGCCTGGGGGCCCTTCGCTGCTCTCCGTCAGCGCTCAGCGCCTCCATTCCTCCCTCGCCCTCGCCCTCGCCCTCGCGCCCGCCCGCGCCCCCGCGACGGTCTCACCAGCTCGGCACCGGGCCGGGGGCTCCCGCCGCTCTAGGCCCGCGGACCCATGGCGAGGGTCCCGCCTGCGACTCCCGCCTTGCCCTGTTCCTCTTCTTCCTCCTCCGCAGCCGCTTCCTCCGTAGCTGTAGCTGTCGCCGCCGCGGCCGTTCGTTGCTCCCGGAACCGGAAATCCGCTGCCCGCCTCTCGGGCTCCGCCACCGGCGACACGCCTGCGCCCTGGTGCCCTGCGGGCGCTTGCCCTTAGCAGGGAAGGCCCCGCGCCTGCGCGCCGGCTCCCACGGCGCGCGCGCCCCTCGCCCGGGACCTGCTGCGCGTGCGCGCTGACGTCCAACTGCCGCCCGAGCCCGGACGGATAACAACAGCGACTGCGCGACTCTCCCCCGTTGGCCAACGGGCGCGCCCGCCCCGCTCCTCCCACCTCGGCTGTGCGTGCGCTCTGCGGTCACCGCCTGAGTGGGCGTGGAGGTTGGGGTTTATCCCAGAGCTCCCCGTTTCTTTGGCGGTCTCCAGAAGGGCCGAGTGGCAAAGACGGGGCTTGTGTCAGCGCCCTGGTCTCCCACCTCTCGCCCAGCCTGTGCCTGGGCACGCCCGCCCGCGGTGCGCGCGCTGCGAGCAGTCGGGTTCCCGTCCTCAGTCTGCAGGCGACAGAGCAAAGCTTTCTGCGTAGACTGAAAGTCAGAACAGGCTGGTCCTGTTCCGTGAAGCACCCATGCAGCAATCGGGTGCCTGCGGGGAAACCGACCCTGGCACCCCTGCCCGTGACGGAAGAAGCTAGCGAAAGAAGATCTAAACAATGGGTGCTTAGGCTTCGCGTCTCCAGGATACAGTCCTTAGGAGGCAGGGAAATGACTGGATCCAAGCATTTGTCCTTCTCTGTGCAGAGAGCGTGCAGGTGACTTAGGAAGTCAAGAGATCTAAACCTATGGGTAAAAACCAGGAGCTCCTAACAAGAACTGTTCCTTTTTGCTTTAGCACGGATGCTACTCCCTACCAAGGTAGATAACCTGAATGCCAGCAGGTGTTGGAGCAGTTCTCAGAGTCAAACCTGTGGGACTGTTTCCCAGATGAGAATTCTGACTGGTTATCTAACAATTTTTTGAGCAATTATCCTTGAGACCTTTGTTCATTGAAATAAGTCTCGATAATGAGGCAACAAAGCCTATTAGATAATCAAGTGAGCATTTGAACCCGAAAAACAGTCCCATAGATTTCACTCTTGGAGAAAATTGGAGAACTAGTCCAATAATCACAAGTGAGAGCTGTTGTGTTGTTGTGTGTTGACATCAAAAAATGTATTCTTGACAGAAATCTGTTTTTCATCTATAGGTTTAGATATTTCCATTTCCTACACTATCTTGACCTAAAAAGATGATGTTGCTATCTATACACTGAGAAGGGCAATTGCTGGCGTTAATAATTTTCCTAATTTCTAAAGAATGCACCATGGAGATGCAAAAGCTAGGTACTCGTTGTTTAAATCTTTGGCTGGCCCCTTGGTCATTGGAGGATGAAAAGTTTTTTGGTTTTGTTTTTATTTTTGTTTTCCCAGCACCGGATTCCTGCATGACCTGCTTCACAGAACAGACTAAGACTGTTCTGACTTCAAGCTTATGCACATGGTTTTACCCTCTTGCTTGCTAGACCAGGGAGGGTGGTCCCAGAAGGTTCACAGTGTGTACACATATTTTATTTCAGTCAAGTGTTTGGAACCCGCATGTGACCCAGAGGAAATGCCTGAAATTGGCTGGAGCATCAAGAGGACCTGGCACCAAAAGGGCCCATTGAGTCCATCCAAATCACTGGAGCTCCAGCTATGACAGGGTGAGTTCTTCCTGGGGTCTTCGACCTCTGGACTAATGCTGAAATTATTAAAGTTTATTAGATAATCGTTTTACATTGTCCAGGTGGGAGGGTTATCCTCTGCCCTTGCGGGAAAGGGGATTCTAGACTTCATTTGCTCAGATTTTCCTGATTTTGAACCAGAGGACTAAAGGGAGTAAGTTTGCAGCTAAAATCAGTGTTTGTCCACTTAAACTGACAGACTGGCTCAGCTGGCTAGAACAAATCAGTTGAGCATGCGAACCAGTTTCAGGTGATTCCAAAGACAAGGACACCTTGCTCCTCTTTCTAGCGTTGCCAGAATCTCTGAGTGAGTAGAGTTTTAGCAGAGGTGTCAATTTTCAAGCTGTGCAGTGGTCCCATAAGGAATTCCAAACTATATGACTAAATAATTTGGCTCAACCAGGAGCACTACAAGATTGATCACCAGCACCATGAGCCCCAACAATTGATTTAAGCAATTTCTAGGAGAAACAGAGATACATAAAAAGCTGAACTAACTCGGGTGAAATTCTGAGGAGCTAAGATTCTCTGATCCATTATACAAGGCCCTAGTTTGACTCATTGAATCAGTATGGGAAACAAAGCATACAAATTTGAAATTTGCAGGACATCCAGCTACCAGCTGCCTACTAATACTCCAGCAGGACTTACATATAACACTTATGGGGCATACATTTTCAAGTGGCTCACAAAGTGGGGGGACTTTATAGAAAAGTTACTTTAAAATGCCCAAGGTGCGGTTGAGCGCTCGGTTGCGAAGCTGCCCGCGGCCTCTGTGGCGCCGGTTCGATCCCTGGCTGCTCCCCGGCCACCAGAGGAGGGTCCCACATGGCGCGCAGACCTCTCCTGCCGCCCGCTGCTCCCCTCAGCAGTGTACTTCGGTCCTTCTGCCTGCTCTGCTCCCCACTCTGGCTCTGGTGAATTCTCTCACCCTCCCGCGCTTCTGACTGTACCCAGTGCATGTATAAACAAAACAAACAAACAAACAAATAAATAAATAAAAACATGCCTCTATAAAAAAAATAAAAAAATAAAATAAAATGCCCAAGGTGGAACACATATAAATTTCCCAAATTAATATACTTTCATATATAATTGACAGAGCCAGCTCTAAAATGATCTGAATGGAATACATATTTTTGTTGTATTTAGAAGCATGCAAATGTGAAAATGACAAAGTAGTTTCCCTGCAAGAAATTAATGAAACTCTACTTGAGATTGTCTCAGAAATAAAGAAAACCATGCAGGCCAGCTTAATACCTAAAGCAATGGGGCTGCCAGTGGCTCCCCCATTATATCCAATGCTTTTGGAACTTACAGATCCACGTGCCATCACCCTGCTTTCTTCTCCCACCTTTACCAAAACAAAGGGAATTCAACTCAATCACTGTGGTCCTCTTTTTTTTTTTTTTTTAAGATTTATTTATTTATGAATAGAAGAGATGGGGTGGAGGCCAGAGGTGGAGGGAGTGGTTTGAGAGGATTCACCAGAGACAGAGTGGGGAACAGAACAGGCAGACTGAAAGACACTGTTGAGGGAGAGCAGCAGGTGAGACAGGAGAGGTCTGCTGTGCCACGTGGGTTATCTCCCTGGCCTAGCTGCAGATTGCTTCATAGAGCTGACATTTAACCTCTTGTACCACCAGGGAGGCCTCTCTGTTGTTCTCTTTCAGGAAGTGGCCACATGGGGGGACAAAGGCATAAGCTGCGCTGCTTTACCAGTTTACCCCATGAACAAAGTCAGAACGTAGAGCCCTAACTAAGGGGTTTTCAGACCCATTGCAGAATCCAGAAAGCTTTACTAAATAAATTAATTATTGAGATTTACACTCCCAGATTTTAGACCTTTATCTGCTATTCTACACCCTTATTTCTAAAAGTAAAACTAAATTTTAGATAGAAAAGTGGGATAGGTAAATCCATTGCATAATATTAAATCAAGAAAAGGGCCTCCCCGGTGGCGCAGCGGTTGAGCCCTGGGTTGCAAAGCTGCCCACAGTCTCTGCAGTGCAGGTTCGATCCCCGGCTGCTCCCCGGCCACAAGAGGAGGGTCCCACATGGCGCGCAGACCTCTCCTGCCGCCCGCTGCTCCCCTCAGCAGTGTACTTCGGTCCTTCTGCCTGCTCTGCTCCCCACTCTGGCTCTGGTGAGTTCTCTCACCCTCCCGCGCGTCTGACTGTACCCAGTACTTGTATAAATAAATAAATTAAATATTAAAAAAATATATTAAATCAAGAAATGAAAGCAAGAAAATGTGAATAATTGGGGCAGGAACTTCTGCAAGCCATTGCAAAAATATTTCCAAAGGTTATTAATTGCATTAAAATACAACAATGTAAAGGCAGACCTGATGAGCCAATCCCAGATTAGAGAAAATTGTTAAAGAATATTCAGAAATGGCTCCTAAAACTTTCAATACTCATCAGAATGATCCTTGACATTTTGGGAGGCCATAGAAGTTGACTTGGGAATCCTACTCAAGCAGCCTGAATTAGGTAGGGCCTGTCCTCCCTACCCATATGCTAGTAACAGTGGCTCACCAATTATCTAAAACCATTAAGAGTAGGGCCTCCCAGGTGGCGCAGCGGTTGAGCGCTGGGTTGCGAAGCTGCCCGCGGCTGCAGCGCCGGTTCGATCCCCGGCTGCTCCCCGGCCACCAGAGGAGGATCCCACATGGCGCGCAGACCTCTCCTGCCGCCCGCTGCTCCCCTCAGCAGTGTACTTCGGTCCTTCTGCCTGCTCTGCTCCCCGCTCTGGCTCTGGTGAATTCTCTCACCCTCCCGCGCTTCTGACTGTACCCAGTGCATGTATAAACAAAACAAACAAACAAAATAAATAAATAAATGAAAAACATGCCTCTATAAAAAAAAAAAAAATAAAAAAATAAAACCATTAAGAGTAAAGGAGGAAAACTGCAACAACAACACAAAATGAATCTGCAGTTAAGACTGTGTGATCCCAATAAACTAAACAACCAGGACTTGGTTTCTATGGAAAGAGACCCGGGCATCAGAAAAAGAATTCTAGGAAAAGGAGAGATCTCAGACAGAACCAGGATGAACCACCAGGATATGAGGACAAGCAGGAATGGGGTGCCCCGAGGATTTTGTGGAAATCTACACATCTCTCCTTTCAAATGCCTTTGGGGAAACTGAGATACAAATCAAGGAAAATAACAGCTTTAATAGATACTGGAGCCACTTTATCAGTTCTGAACCCTAACCAACTTATGGATTCCCTTCTTGAGATGGTATGGGTATCAAACTTACCAATCAGAGTAAATAAATCCATTAATTTCCAAATAGAAAAAATTGAAGGAAAACATTCTTTCAGTATGTATGTCCTCATACACATAGGTAGAAACCTGTTAAAGCAATATGGAGCCTACACTGCATTCAGTCCAAAGGGAGAATTGTATTTAGACTTAACAGAAGCTCCCACAAAACCAAACAGTTATCCATAAGGTAGTGATTTTGGCCCAAACAACTATTGGAAGATAATGATGAAATTCTTAAATTCTGCAAGAATGTTGGGTTGCTACAGATACGGGAACAATTCACTGAGTGGAGCCAACCAAAATTTCCGTGGATACAAATACTTGATACAAATACTTCAAATACTTGAAGATATCTATGAAGGGTGGAGGTCATAGAAGGCATAAAGCCTCTAAAACAGTCTTATTTTGAAAAAGACTTTATGTGCTGTACCAGTCCTTGCAATACACCCATCTTCCCTACAGGTAAGCCTAATAGGAAAGAATGGAAGTTTGCCCAAGACCTAAGGGCAGCAAAAGCTGTGGTCCTACCACATCACCCCGTGGCTCCTAATCAACATACATTTGTTGTCTTTTATCCCAGTAGATAGTACCCATTTTTCAGTAACTGACACAGTGCCTTCTTCGGCATGCCAGTTCATCCTGAATATTTTTTTAAAGATTTATTTATGCATATAAGAACTGGGGTATAGGCCAGAAGTGCGGGGGTAGTGAGAGGATTCACCAGAGCGGGGAACACAACAGGCAGACTGACTGAAATACACTGCTGAGGGGAGCAGCGGACGAGGCAGGAGATGTCTGCTGTGCCATGTGGGTCACCTGGCCGGTCAGGGATCCAACTTGTTCTGCAGAGGCTGAGGATAGCTTCACAGCACTGTGCTTAAACAACCCTTGCGCCACCAGGGAGGCACTCACCCTGAATATTAACATGTTTGCTTTCACCTGGGGCAGGGGGCTAGACTGTAATGACCCAGAGGTACATGGAAAGCCCCACTTCTCTCAAATTCTAAAAATTGATCTCAATGGCCTTAAATTTCCCTAATAATCCACTCTAATACAGTAGGTAGGTGTCTAACTATTTTGTTCCAAGTGTCTAGCCGATCTTGACAAGACACAGTATATCTTTACCAATAACTAACTTTTCAAGAGAATAAAGTATCCAGAGAGAAATTACAATTTTGTTTAAGCAGTTAAATACCTAGGGCATATAGTTAGGAGCAAGAACTTTTAATAGCCCCAACAGAGTCAAAGATTTCCCACCACCAAAAGGCAACTCAAGAGGATTTTTAAGACTATCAGTCTACTGTCAAAATTGGATTTCCCAATTTTCACTTTAGCCCAACCTTTATGTGAGCCTTTGAAACAAGAACAGTCAGAACCTGGGCCTCCCTGGTGGCACAGGGATTAAAATGCTGTCAAGCTAGCACCAGCCACTGCAACATGAGTTCGATTCCCGGCCAAAGAGCTAACCCACATGGCACAGCAGACCTCTCCTGTCTCGCCTGCTGCTCTCCTCAGCAGTGTATTTCAGGAGATGTGCTTGTTCTGCTCCCCTCTCTGTTTCTGGTGAATCCTCTCATTCCCCTACATTTGTGGCCTACACACAGTTCTTGTATGCATAAATAAATAAAATTTAAAAAAGAACAGCCAGAACCTCTAAATTCAACATAACAATATATAAAAGCAATGGAAAATTTTAAAGTACCTTTAAATGAGGCACCAGCATTTAGCACATCCTAATATGATTTGCCCTTTTTCCTATTCACAAACATAAGAGCAGCTTCAGAGGTTGTTAGATTCACATCATACTTAGGAAATCGTCTTGTATTTTCCAGTATTATTTTTCTCAAATGCAACAGGCTGAACCCAGTCATCTTAATTTCTTTTTTTTTTTTTTTAAGATTTATCTATTTATACAATCACTGGGTACAGTCAGAAGCGCAGGAGGGTGAGAGAATTCACCAGAGCCGGAGGGGAGAGCAGAGCAGGCAGACTGACGGATTACGCTGCTGAGGGGAGTAGTAGGCGGCAGGTGAGGTCTGCGCGCCATGGGGACCCTCGCCCGGCAGCCGGGGATCGAACTGGCGCTGCAGAGGCTGCGAGCAGCTTCGCAACCCGGCGCTCAACCGCTGCGCCACCAGGGAGGCCCAGTCATCTTACTTTCAAATGAAGCAGACCCAATAGAATTTAATCATGATTTTATCAAATTGATTCAGATGCGGAGTCCAACAAGATAGCAGACAGTGAAGCTGTCGAGCTTGCCACCTCCACATATTTACAACTAAATTATACAGAAAGATAGTGGTCCCTGGAGGACTTGATGACCATTATATGCACAGAGAGAGGGGCTACACAGCAAGAGGGTAGGAAAAACAGATTTAATTGTATTTGGAAAGGAGGGGTAACTGTGATATGGATCTTCTCTGGCATTGACTGAAGGGCTCGTGCCCACATTAGGGACTGGGCACTAACTGGAGTGACAGCACCTGTAGCTCATACGGGTCAGAGGGTGTACCTCCAGAGAACTATAGGAGTAGGGGAATAAAGATGGAAGACAGAACACTGGAATAGTAAGTCACAGCCTGCAAAGACAGGCACTATAATGCTGGATAGTAACCAGGCACCCGCCCTCCTCCCCTAAATAGGGGAGCTTGAGCACAAGGGAAGCTTTGGTGAGTGTGGGCATGGGATCTGCGCAAGGTCTGATTATCACCTTGATCCACAGATGTAAACAGCTGGAGCCCAAACCAGTAGGGAAGACATAGATTAACTTGCACGTGCCTGTAAGAGGCTCCTCTCTATAGCTAGTCTCATCCTAACCTGGGGCCAAAGTTGAGCCAACAGCCACATCGAGTGATTACTGCCGTTAACCAGACTTGAATGCACCTGGACCCTAACTACAAATGCAGATGCCCCAGGGCAAGACTCTGTACTTGAAAGGTGTAGAAAACAAATCCTGACCGCTACTCTATCCCATTAGCCTCCTCCTGGTGCTAACAACCATTGAAATGCAGAGAGATCTGCAGGGGAGGCAGCCCTTTGTGGAAGGCACATGTAAATCTTGAGAAACACAGCCCCCTGGTTGACTTGTAATCAGCACCGGGACAATAGATTGTCTGCACTGCAAAACCTCAGCTCTCAGTTCATTCTGCTCCTGCCCACACCCCTGGGAGACTGAGGATGGGGGGGTGGGGGGGAGGGAATACCAACCACATAACTGGCAGACCAGTGCCAAACTGCAACTAAGTTGATGTTTGCCTGAGATTATTCCAGACACTTGGAGGAATTGGCCTAGGGGAGGTCACTGGACATCCCCACCCCCAACTCAGGCAGCTGCAGCACCCTAGGAGGCTTGAACTCTAGGTACTGGCTAGTAGCAATCTCAGCTCAGATCTTCACCTCCTGCCAGCACGAGATTTTAGGTCATCTGCACTCATCTGCACAGGAGCCCAGGTAAACAACCTCGGATTATCCTGCAGTTTGTAATACAGGGCAACTACCATGACAAGGAAAGAAATTTTTCTTTGATCTCATGACACAAAAATTAAAAAGGAAGAGACAGGAACATACCACTAATGATCAAACAAACAACAGGCGAGCATAGTCTGAATCCTGCAGAATTCCTTGTTCAGGGTAACAGCGTGACTATGCTTGTTTGAAATAAGAAAAACAATGGTTGAAAAAAAACAGGAATACAAGTCTAGAGAATACATGAGAATGTTTCAAACAGGATTAATGGATTTAATACCTTAACAGAACTAAAAACATGTTAGAGGACTTCAGAAGCAGACAAACTGATAAAATCAGTTGAGCATGAATGCAAGAAGGTGGAAAATACACAAATAGACTAGCAAAGAGAAAAAAGAATGGTAACAGTGTAAGTTCTTCTGGGACATCTTAAAGAGAAACAACATCTCTATCTGGGGATCCCAAGAGACAAAGACAGCAAATTTTTTGAAAGTAGTAATAGCTGAGAATCTCCCTAGTCTGGAAAAGGAACCAGATATCCTGATCCAAGAGTCCTAAACAAAATCAAACCAAAATTAATTGATTTACTCTTGACCATGAGGGATGAGATATATTAAAGGCCTATAATTAATGCTGACTTATTTTATTTACAGATGGTTCTTCTTTACAAGGACCTACTAAAAAATTCATCTTGGATGTGCTATGACGGCCTCAGTGTCCATTGAAAGCACTCCCTTACTTGAGGTTCAATCAGTGCAGCAACAAAATGTTGACTAAAGCCTGCCATTTGACTAAAGGAAAAACAATAAAAATCACCACTAGCTAGAAATACACATTTGGAGTAGCACATGATTTTGGGATGTTCTGGAAACCAAGAGGATATCTGATCTCTGCTTGACCAACTATTTATTTTAAAAATATTTATTTATGCATACAAGAACTGGCGTGTAGACCAGAGGTGTGGAAGGTGAGAGGATTCACCAGAGAAAGTGGGGAGCAGAACAGGCAGATCTACTGAAATATTGTGCTGAGGGGAGCAGAGGGTGAGACAGGAGAGGTTTACGTGCCATGTGGGTTGCTCCCTGACGGGCCAAGAATCAAACTTGTGCTGCAGTGGCTGGTGATAGCTTGATAGCACTGTGTCTTTAATCCCTGTGCCACCAGGGATTGACCACCTATTTAAAAGGGAAAGCAAGTGGCTGCCTTGTTAGAAGCCATTTGCCTCCTAAAGAATTGGTAGAAATAAAGACCCAAGGGAATTCCTAGGCAATACCTTAGAAAGGAAGTAAGCTAGTACATCAAGCAGCTAGGGAAGCAACTTTCTCAGAAGTAATGACCTCAACCTAAATGTGTTTGCTTTCCCATGCTAAGTTGAGACAGTTTTTCAGAAAATTGCTACCAAAAAGAAAGATGTGGATCCAGAATGGGGAAGTTTTTTATTCTCACATGTTTGTAGGTTGGACCAAACTGATGCCTAACACCTCCCCTAAGAATGTAGCTCCCCATATCAGATGTTTCACTTATATGCAGAATATAGAGAAACCAAACAAAAGGTCGAGAAAAATACAAAACTCGCAAGCTAGATCCGAGGCATACAGTAAGGGGGGGGGGTCAAAACATGGGAGGGAGGAGCACATGGGACTATGGTGAGGGTTCATGTGTGACATGGTGGCAGGAGAACTACAGGGACTACACAGGGGAGAAACCAATTAATGTACAAAAACGAGTAACTGTAAGAAATTTTTTTAAAAATTGCACTCATTTGAAATGACAAAAATGAAAATAAAAACTTTAAAAAAAAGAATGCAGCTCCCCTTCTTATAGTGTATACATGATTTAAGCCACTGGGTCCTAGTATAAAATGGTCTTCTGGGAGAAAAACGTCTTGGGGAACCTTCTTTTATGGTAGCACAAAAGGTATATTCCAAATGTTTGATTTGACCAAGGAGACATTTGCACACCTCAAAGGCTGTTTTTCCTTAACTGCAGGACCACCTGAATTTTGGGAAGTGGATTTAATCCAAAAGCTTCTTTTTCAAAGGTACCAATATGTACTTGTTAGGATTTGCATGTTTTACCATCGAGTAGAAACCTTCCCGTGCAGATTGGGAATAAATATCTATAGCAGGTAAATTACTACTATAATGTGTCATTCCAGTATGAGTTCCTGTTGAATTGCATAGTGTCCAAGGGACTCACTTTACCTGACAAATCATAAAGGAAATCAGTAAAATCTGGTCTACACGCCACCTTTACTGCACTTACCACCCAGAGTCATCAGGTTAGTCGAGTGAACAAATGGAATGATTAGTAAAATCCAATTGGCGAAAATGTTAGATGTATTTTTCTGCCTTGTGAAAAGTCTTCCCACTGGTGTTGCTTAAGTTCTGCACCTTTTGGTGAACACCAGCTTTCCCCATTTGAAATCATTACCAGGAGGCCTGTGCGTCTGGATGAAGGGCTATATAAACCTTTAAAGGAAAATAAGCTCCACTACTGTAAAACATTAAAGTATTTAAAGACCATTTCAACTAGTGGTTGACACTTGTGAGATCAGTCTACTTGACAAACCCAAGACTTATTACCAGATGAACATTCACTGGAACCATCGCCAAATAAAACTACTACTTAACAACCTCTTGACAGAGCCTTGTGCAGCAAAATTATAGGGAGTTGATTCTTAGATCTGTGTTTCTCATTTAAAAAGGACACCCAACCTGGAGGGAGTAGCTGTCTCAATGTCAGACACCCAACTTTGACTAAGAAAAGTCAAACACAAGATCAGGATGAGAAGCAGCCAAGTTCTTTCAAGTAACTCCTCTGGGAATTAAAGGACCAACTTTGATAAGAATGGATTTAAACTTCAAGGAAAATGACACTAAGTTCTCTGTTAATGAGAGTCTTTTCACCAATCCCCTGCTGCTTGAGCATTTGTATCCCCAAACCTCTTGCCCTCCTTTATGTTGAATCCTACTCATGGACAGACACCACTGTCAGGATGAGAAACAGAAATTCCAGCTCACCTTTAGAGGGCCTTGAAATCCTGGATATGATAATTTTTACTCCCTTTCCCTTCTTAGGCCTCAATCATCTATTAACCTACTTATCAGTTTTCTTTTTTGCATGCCTCTTATAGAGAGCCCTTATTAGGAAGGAGACATTTCCCCACAAAATGTGTCAGGTAGAGTGGTTAGAAATACTAGGATGAATCAACACTGTTGTCATTGGCATGAAGGAGAAATTAAGGACATCTCTGCTCAAAGCAATGCAGTTTTGCAGTGGCACTGTCCATATGTCACAGAATTTCTTGTCTCTATGATTACTGACCATGCTTTTGTGGATGGAGCTGGGTAAACAAAGGCAGTAATTCTGAATGGAACCCCCACATGGAAAAAACTAGGGGTGATTTGGTGGTCAGATGTAACCTACAGAAGGCCCCTCAATGTTACTATTATGAGACCTTAAGGGACATCCACCCCTCACTGTTGCTACATACTCAACATTTCTGGGTTTGTAACTTTTACCCCATCTCTTCTCATTCTGTAGCAACCCAATGGCAATAACATGTATGATGGATTAAACAGCAGTGGCCACCCAAAAGAAACAAGAGGTCTTTAGAAACACAGGAGCAGGGCTCGACATTTTAGGCCAAGATAAATTTACTGTTGGTGAGGAAAGACATTCAAATGAAAGAACTCTTGTCTCAGATAGAATATTTTGAAGGAATGTTAGTCCAAGAAAGCAGGGATGAGAAATAGCTTGGTACAGGGTACCCAATAAATCATGGCCAATAACACTAGAACCTAATTGTGGAAATGAGCCTATATGTTATGCATGTTATCACAACAGGACTTGCTAACCATATTATTTCAGAGGGAGGCTGAAGTAGCTATGAAACAATGGTTCACTATCCTCCCGGAGAAAAACCTACTTATGGGATAATTTTGGTTCTTGAACCTCTGGAAAATTTCTGATGGTAAAATATGACTTGTATCATTCTACTTTGTCCATTTTATCCCCTAGACTTAATCCACAACTTCAGTTCCCAGTAGTTCAATTCACTGGTGTTAGGACATATTCAGTGACATTCAATTTCTTTTGATGGGTGGTCAGTGGGCAGTATTATGTGGGAACCCACTTCTTTATTAATTGGTAAAAACTGGAAAAGGTGAATGGTTATGTTCTCAGTCATGGGCCTCTGAACTATCTCAGACATGGCTCATTTTATTTCCTCAATCACATTGAGCATATGGGTAGGGAACCTTATTGCTAGGAAGGAAAAGAAAATTTTACAATTTTAAAAACAAATTTGTTCAGTAGCCAAACAGGTATTTGGAGTAATCCAGGTGTAATGGGTAAGATCACTACTACTGAGGTAAACATGACTGTGATAATACTGATATGGAGAAATATAAGTACTGGGAGATTGAAATCTCCCAATGAAAACTGTTCCACAGAGACACAAAGGTTTGAGGTGCTACACCTTTTGGAACTCACTGGTGGTCTGCAAGAAGCAGCAGAAACTTAGCAAGTTTAAATTTCAGTTGGCCAAAGGGGAAACTGCATAATTGACCTTATTAGGAAATACGACGATGTTTGTGCTGGACTTTTTGGATTGTCTCTTAACTCATCACTTTCTTGTCATGCTATAGGACAGGTGATTGCTGCGTTAATTATTACTGGATTATCACTATTTTCTCCTAGTCTATAAATGTGACAAATTATACCAACCTAAAAATACTAGGCAATGAGATGCCTGGATTGTTAGCTCAAAAGCATGAACTGCTTTAACATACAATGATGAATAAAATTTAACTTTACATTGTTTTAAGATGCTGTGTTAGGCACCGAGGAAGGCAGTGAGGGAGAAAAAGTTTGGATTTACCTTTTCAGGTGAGGGATAGTTAAGGATACAAGAGATACCCCAATGCTGGACAGAAAATATAACACTGGTCATTAATGTAACAACGAGAAGTTAATTATGGCCAAAAGAGGGGGGTTACTGTCAACCATTTGAGACCCCTTTCCCAGTCTAGCAGGCAAAAGAGCAAAGGCTTCTGCACAAAGTCAGAACAGGCTGGTCCTGTTCCGTGAAGTAGCCATGTAGGAATCTTATGCCTGCGGGGAAACTGCCCTTACAGTCCCTGCCTTTGACCAAAGCAGCCTGTGAAAGATCTAAACGATGGGCACCTAGGCTTCTCATCACCAGGACACAATCTTGACGGGGCTAGGGAGATGACTGAATCCAAGTCTTTGCATTCCTCTGTGCATAGAGTGTGCAGGTGACTTCAGAAATCAAGAGATCTGAACTTTAGATGAAACCCAGAAGCCCCTGTCAAGAACTGCATCTTTGAAGTAAATGACTGTTCCTTTCTTCTTTAGCATGGCTGATACTCCCTAACTAGGTAGATAACCTGAATGCAAACAGGAATTGGAGCAGTTCTCAGAATCAAATCTGTGGGGCTGTTCCTGAGTTAGAATCCTGATTATCTGAATAACTCTGACTATCATTGGGACCTTTTATTTCCACACTCGGAACATTCCCCCCAGGGCTGCTGCATGCTGCCCTTTCCTTAGAGCAGCCTGCTAGCTCCAGCTCCTCTCCTGAGAACTGGGTGGTACAGCACTACAGGAAACAAGAGGGCCTGATCTGTGCAACCAATGATGGCAGGACCTTGCCCATAGCACACACTGTGGGGCCAACTAGACTTCTACAACTAGGCTTCTGCTGTATACATGGCCGCCCAAAGTGGGCACTGTGTTCATGACTGAATGCACTTCTGGTCTGGAGAATCTCACACAGGAGTGTAAATCAGCCACACTCTGAGTGCTAACTGGATACCTACCCAATGTCTTATGATGGAAAGAGCTCTCCCCAGTAAGTCGCATCCCCATGCTCAAGGGCGTAGTGTCTTGCAGAGCACAGAGTGGTGCCAGCTGTATTCTAGACACCTGCACAGGTGCTCTCGCCCCTCCTGAGTAAGGTGTTTCACGGCCCATCTGCTGGGAATAGTATTGCTACTGGAGAAAGTTTGGAGACTGTGAATAGTTATCTTCCTCAGTTCTTCAAAATTTTATTAACAAAACCAGGGAGAGGGGAGGCAAGGGTGAACTGACTCCGCAGTCGCACCCAGGCACAGAAATGGAGAAATGGAGAGGTAGACGAGAACAGGAGGAAATTCTGAGGCCCTCTGTCAAGGGCAGATGGGCAGTCAAATGGTGGATGGACATGGGGAGAAACTCAGGGACAACTGGAGAAACAGATGAATGGCAGAACAAACAGCTGATTCAGGACAGTTCCCCTGCCTGGAACGCAGGGTGTGAGGCCCTCTGGGCTGGTGAGGCTCAGCGATCAGCACTGGAGCGCAGGTCGGTAGTAAGTGGATCGTGCTGGATGGTTTGGTGCAGCATCAGGGCCAGCAATCCTGCCCGGTTTGTCATGGCCGTGCGGACATTGCGCTCTTGCTCAAATAGCTCGTCTAGCTTATACCACTGCCAGGGGAGCAGGAGCCATGAGAAGGGGCTCTGGAAGCCCTGGCCGGCCCTGCCCACACCCAGCATTAAAAACCTACCACGCGCACACGCTCCAGGTCCACTTCAGCACGCCGCAGCTTCTCCCAGCAGTAGTGGCGGTTGCACTGGCGCTTGGGCAGGCGGCAGAAGTCACCGGTGAGCTCAAATACGTCACGAACAAGGGGACACCCGCATACCTCGTCGGCTGGCACCTGCAGGGAGAAGGGTGGGCATGATTGTAGGGTGGTCAGACGGAGGAAGACGGAAACAGGGAATAATCAGGGAGAGAGGCAGGAAAGAACGGAAGGTTCGGGGAAAGTAGAAAGGCACAGGACAGGAGAGGAGGATGAAGAGACAGGCAAAGGGGGAGACGAGTAGGTGAGAAGACAGGAAAGGAGGCATGAAGCCTGCTGAGGCAGGGTAAGTGGGAGGAGCGGAAGGAGTCAGGAAAAAGGCAAGGAAGAACGTGAGGAAGGAAGAGACAAATCTGGGGCAGTGAGGAAGAAAGGACAAAATCGGGAGAGCCGAAGAAGAACCTTACTTTGGGGTCTCGTGAGTGCTCAGGGCACAGCACCTGGAGCCGCTTACAGTACGTCTTGCTCTGAGGGTTGTAGACATCACAGAAGAGTCGTGTGGCCCTGGAGGTTTGGAGGAGAGAGAGGAGATTGGAGGGAGAGGAAGGCGACCAGCTGCCCTCACCTATGCCCATGTCCGCCCCACATGCCATTCCTGACCCCATCCTTGACCTCCCTCTAAATCCACACTGCAACCACACTCACCCCTCAATGCGCGTGGGGTACATGGACCCAAAGGACGTCTGGCTTTCATACTAGAGGGATGAGCACAAACGGAGGGCACTGTGGATGTGTGCTGTGTGCACTGCCCAGACAGCACATCTGTCCCCTAGAGCCCGCCGATGTCCCCACACCACCTGCCCCCTCAGGCTGACACCCTGACCTTGGCATAGCAGCGCTCCATATGGCGCAAGGCAACACGTGGGTTGATGGGGTGCCCGCAGGAGACGCAGAAGATCTGCAAGTCTGTGTCATCGCTGTCACCCTCATTGCTCTGCACAGGGGAAAGGAGCGATAAGGTCAGGCCAGACCAGACCAGGTCTTAGGGCCTACCCATCTGTACCCTCAGCTACTCACCTCCTCATCCTCACGCACAGCTTGCTGCTTGGCACGCACTATGATGGCCTCAAGCTCATGGAATCGGCGCTCCATTTCCTGCAGGCGAGTGCGGGCGCTCTGTTGTTCACGGCGAATGCGTTCAAGCAGCTTCTTGCCGTGCTCCTCAGCAATGCAGGGGCTCTGCTGCCACTGCTGGATGCGCTGAGGGAGGATCTCATAGATGCGGCTGCAGGGAGGCAGTGGGTGGGTGCAGGCAGGGAAGGTGGCAAGCAACATGAGTGAGTGGGGTGATCCAAGGGTGAGAGGTGGCTGGATGACTAAATGGTGAAATGGCAGTAGACAACTGAATGGCAGATGGGTGAGCACATGAGCGACTGAACGGTGGATGATGGGTGGATGGATAGAGGACGGGTGCTTGGTTGACTGAATGGTGGGCAGGTGACTGACTGGCAGGCAAACTGCCAGTCCTGTCCTACCCGTTACTCCCTGACTCCCTTGAACCCCTTAGCAAAGACTCACTTGGCTGCCAACTTCATCCCACAGTCATCTGAGCAATACTTGGAGCCGGGCTGGGCAGGGCGCACACAGCCAGGCCCCAGGCACTGCGGTAGGGATGCAGGGTCCTTCACATCAGCACGCTCCGGGTGTTTCCATTTGTCTTTGTGCTTCTGTTTCTGTCGATGCCGCTTGTATCTCTCCTCCTTCTAGGGGGCCAGGCAGATCAGCTCAGGGTGGAGTTGAAGCCTCCCCCTACTTTCCTCTCCACCCCCTTCTCGCTCTTGCCCCATTTGGCCCCTGGCCTTTGCCTTCCCACAGCCATTTTACCCTCTCCATCACCTTCTTCTCAGACTTCTTCTCCCGACGCTTCACATGCTTCACTTTCACCGCCCTCTTCCGCAGCGCAGGGTCCAGGAACGGGGACTCCTCTGCGTCACTCATCCAGGACTGCAAGTCAGGCAAATACTGACCCATCCGCCCCACTCGGGACCACCCCACCACCTACGTGGTTCCCAAATGAGCCTTCCATACCCTCTGCCTCTCTCCTCATTATGGGTACTCTCTGCTTCTGAAACCGCCACCCTTCCACCGCGGGACGCTCTGCCTGCTCACCAGGCCGTGGTCATCAAAGGCCCCCGCACAGAAGTCCTGGTATAGGTCAGGGTCCAGCGGGAGGTCCTCATCTGAGAGTGGCTCAGGTGTGGCGGTAGCCTCAGGTGGCTCCTTGACTGCCGATGACGCCACTGACCCCTCGTCCTCACGGATGCGCCCCAGCTTCTGTGATGGCTGTGGCTGCTGCTGGGTGGGCAGTGGCCGCCGGGGCCTTGGCAGGGACTCTGAGGGCGTCACCGGCGAGAGCTGCGGGGCAGAATCTCAGGACTGGCCCTGACCACCCTGCCCGCATGCCCCGCCCCGCCCTGGGGAGCTGGACTCACCGAGGAAGGGAAGTACTTGTAGGATTCCTGTGCCGGCAGGAGGAAGGCCCAGGTCAGCCCCAGGTGAATGGAGGGTGGCCCTGCCCTAGTCCCTCCCACAAGTGCCTGGCCCCACCACTAGCCCTTCCTGGCTTCCAGACATACCTGCTCCCCACTCCACCCCACATCACCAGGACATGCTCAGCCCTGCCCTACTTGCCCTGACATGCCTGACCACCTTTCTGGTTCTACCCTACCTACCTATGGTGGGGGACTCTTCTGCTAGCCCAGCATACCCGGCCTCACTCCATTCATCTGAACAGTCCAGATCCCTTCCCACCTCTCTTTATGTGATCAGGCCCCATCCCACCTGGCTCCTCCAGCTCTTCCTGGACACACTGGCCAACCCACCTGACCCTGCCCGGTTCTGCCCATGCTCACCCGGGCCCGCAGCTGGCACTGACGTAGCCGGCACTTCTGCCGGATCTTGTTGGGGCCCCCAAACTTCTTCATGTCCCGGCAGAAGTCGCAGTGGCCACAGTCCTCAGTGCGCCGGCAGGCTTCACACTCGCCACACATGCGGGCTGACCGTTTGATCTGCTGCTGCTGTTGCTGGTGATGCTGGGTGAAGGCCCAGGCAGAAATCAGGAACCCAAGCAGGGTCTGAGATGGCACCACCTTACTTACAACCGTCATTGTAACCACTTACCTGGCTGGGTGTGGCCACCAAAGGCTGTGGAGAGGATTTGTGGGGCGAAGCAGAGCCCCGAGCAAGCATGGCCCCAACCCCTGTCCCTGAACCCGCCCGGCGCTGCAGTTCTGGATCCGGAGCAGGCCTCTTACGCCCTCCACCCTCATCCCGGGGCTCACTGCCGTCTCGCTCATTGCTGTCTCTCTCCCGTGATTTCTTGTGCCGATAGCGGATCTCCAGCTTGGGGTCTTTCTCTGTGGGCAGACGACGTGTCCCAGGTGGGTTGGCTTTGGGGGATCTGGATCGTCCAAAACTCTTTCTCCCTCTTCCCTCCCTTTCCGTTCTATCCACCCGCTCTGCCCCTCCTACTCCGGGGCAGCAATGTCCCCCAGGGGGGACCCTCAATTATGGCTCATAAAGCAGCCTCAGGTCCAGCTCACCAGCCAAAAATGACTCTGACCCCAGACACGTCTCATTCCTCCCCTTGCCCCTCAGTACGGTTCCTCCGGATCCCTTGAAAGCCCACCCACCACCCCTCACCTCGGCACTCTCGACAGTACCACTCCCGGATGGCCTTGGCCATCTTCTCAGTGATGCGGATGCAGTCCCCATGGAACCACTCATTGCAGTTGTCACACCCGCTGCAGAGGATGGGGCCAGTGGTGAAGATGTGAGGGCTGGGACCCATCAGCCTCACCCAACCTTGACAGGTGTCAGCCCCACCCACCTCGCCCCGGCTCACATCATGAAGCAGTTGATGTCCGGCTTTCGGCAGATGCAGTAGATAGGTGCATTCTCCCCATTCTCTGATTTGCTGTCCTCCCCGGCATCTGGAGGCTCTGGGTCCGAACCATCCCCCTCCTGTGGGATTCCCCCCATTATACTCCTTAGAGAATACAGTTCATGGCACCTCTGCCTCCTTTACAGCTCCACATGGCTCATCACAGATCCCCAACCCTGCCCATCACAGCTCCTCAATCTCTCCATCACGCTCCCCAGGCCCCTCCCCACCACACACCCCTGAGCCCCACACACTGTGACACTCCCACACAGCTTATAAAGTCCTAGCACTCTGCCTCAGACCTTCATTCACTCACCACACTGACACTCATTACTCTATGCACACACTCCTAACAGCTCATCCCAAACACCCTCTCGCTCACCGCGCATCGCCCCCCATGGTTGCTCCTCAGAGACTCCCATTCCAGGTTCTCACAGACCTCGCATAATTTACTCTGCGGACTTCCCATCACAGTTCCCCACTAACCCTCTGTTGTTACCCCACAAAACCCCCACAGCACGGTTCTCCATGGATCATCTGACACCGCAAAACCCCTTATCACGCTGCCAAAGAACCCCCGCCCCCCCCACCCCCCATCCTCGGTATCCTGATTCCCACGAACTACCCTCAGGGATTCCTACTAAACTTACATTAGGGACGCCCATAATGATGGCACATCACAGAACTCCCAGATGCTTCACACACCAGGAAAAAAAAATTCAGACCATCAAACCCCCACCGTTCTGCCCACAGACCCTTACCAAGGCTCTCCACGGCCCCCACCATTCTGTCCAGACTCACGTTACTGTTTACCACAGACCCCCAGGCGTCTGCCGCCAGACCCCTCCATTACCATCCCCACTGACCTCTACCGCCGACCTTCCCCCCATGCCCCATACTCACCATCTCTCCGCTCCCGGCGCACCCCCTCACGAACCCCGCCAGCGACCCGCGAACCTACACAGGCCACTCGGTGGCGTCCCCGGCCGTTGCAAGGCGCCCACAACTACTTCCGCTTCTGGCGCGCCTCCGGGACACCGTACACTTACTGCGCAGGCCCGGTGCGTCGGATATACCGCGGACAAGCCCGCCTAAAACCCGAGCGTCTCTCAGGCGCCGCCATCTTGACTATCGAGACCGTAAGGCGGCCTGGTCCATAGGTTCGCTGGAAACATGGCCGCGCCTACCTCGAGGGCGCCGCCACCTTGTCGGTCGAGTCCGTACAGTGACCACTTGTACGGTATCGCTTCTTAAAGCAATATGGCCGCGCCTAGTGCACGAATCCCTGGTGGACGCCATCATCTTGGAATCTGATTCCGTAAGATGGCCGAGTCCGTACGATTACGAGGAACACATGGCAGCGTCCCGATCGCCGCCTACGCGAGGGCGTCGCCATCTTGGCAGTCGATTCCGTAGGGCGGCAGTTGGCGGGGTAGAAAAGTTCACAGGGAAATGGATAGTTCACCTAAATCAAGTTTCGCTCATTCCTCTTCCCAGTCACTTTTGCCTCCCGCGTGTATTGATGGGGCGCCCGGCTGTGCGTCTTACCCAGCGAAGGGAACTGAGCTCTGTTCTGGCTCAGACACCAGCTCCCGCCACTTTCCGCCCCTCCCCCTCCCGCCCTCGCTCCTGGCAGCTTCTCGGCCGGTTCTGGCCGGGTCCAGCCTTGGGGTCCGTGCGGGAGCGTCCCCACATCTCAGAATTAGCACGGGCAGCGGTGAAAGGCCGCAGAGGACAGTGGCCGGGGGTGTCTGTGAGGAGCGGCCGGCCCGAAGTCGATTCTGAGACGGGGGACACTGTCTCCACTCAGCCCCCTCCGCCCGCCCGCGCGGAGGTCACGGTGCCCGGTGACGTCCTCTGTGGCCCTCCTGGACGTACGTTCTCAACATGCTCTCCCCTAAAGTTAGTTCTTTTAAATTTAAATTAGGTACCCCCCAAAAAATCTACACAGGTCAGAGAGCCTGATGGCTCCTCGGTAATGATCTACCCCGGGCGACCAAGTGGTCAGAGGAGACACAACTGGTCAATATTTACCCCCCATCCCAGCCCGCACCCCCACCCATCTCCGCGGAAGGAGTCGTGGCCCAGTGAATGTCAACACCCTCACTTTCAAAGTCAGAAGGGATTTATTTCTGGTGGAGGGAAGGAATCCGATTAAAGTGAGATTTTTTTTCTTTTACCCCTGTTTTTCCAGTTTTTCTGGATTTCTTGGCTCTGGACATAATAGCAACTCATTTACTACTAGTGATGCCACTGCTTGAGGCTTAGAAAGTCTGTTTTGTTTGTTTGTTTGTTTGTTTCACTTTTCTAAACACTTTTCTTCATGGTCTCGTCCACACCACCACAGACTCCCACGACACAGAGCACCTGGGTTCTGTGACCTACTAAAACTGGCTTTTAAACTACAGAAACCTTCAGGTACAGCAGAAGACTTGCCTTAATTTTGTCAATCAACGTTGAATTAACGCTTGTAGTTTATTCTAATTAACATAACTCTTTATATTTTTCATTAAATGCATTTATAAGCAGGCAGGATAAGGGGGATCCCGGACCCCCAAACCTGCCTGCTCTAAATGGATTCTGCCATTCTCCGAATACAGACAAAGCGTACTCCTGGTGTATAAGACCTTCAATAGAAAAGAATTATAGGGGCCTCCCTGGTGGCACAGGGGGTTGAGCACAGCGCTGTGAATCTGTCTGTAGCCTCTGCAGTGCAGGTTCATCCCCGCCGGCCTCGGAGCAACCCACATGGCGCAGCAGACCTCTCCTGTCTCCCGCTGCTCCCCTCAGCAGTATATTTCCTCAGTCTGCCTGTTCTGTTCCGGGTCTGTCTCTGGTGAATCTTCTCACCCTCCTGCGCATCTGGCCTGTATCCCAGTTCTTGTATAAATAAAATATATCTTAAAAAAAGAACTATAGGACCTCCCCGGTGGCGCAGTGGTTGAGCACTGGGCTGCAAAGCTGCCCGCAGCCTCTGCAGCGCCGGTTCGATCCCCGGCTGCAGAGCGAGGGTCCCACATGGTGTGCAGACCTCTCCTGCCGCACCCACTGCTCCCCTTAGCAGTGTGTTTTGTCAGTCTGCCTGTTCTGCTCCCCGCTCTGGCTCTGGTGGATTCCCTCACCCTCCTGCACTTCTGACTGTATCCAGTGCTTGTATAAATAAATAAATAAATCTATCTAAAAAAAAAAAAAGAACTATAATAAAATTTGTGTGCAACTAGAGAAGACAATGAATGTAGTTAAAATAGTTTCCCCGTGAAACACTAGGTTACCCTTCTCCTCGTGTGTAAATGCCCAGCCAAACAGGGTTGGCCCAAAATAGGGCCACTAATGCCTGGAAGCATGCTATAGGTTTAAGGCAATTTCTGGTGGGAAACCATAGGAAAAGGGCAGAAAGGGATCAAGCAAGTCTGGACAGAAAAGAGCAAAATCAAAATACAAGTCAAGACAAAGGCTGCCATTGTTAGCCTTACCACCAGCATCCATATCTCTTTTAAGTGTCTCCTTTCAGATGTCTCCCAAGTCCCTACTGCAGGCTGAGAAGCAAGCCCAGCTTCTTCTTCACATAGCTCTCTGCTCCATGTGCCTTCTCCTTCCCTCCTCTCTCTCAAGTCCTTTTCAGCTTCCAGTTTCAATTTAATTACTCAAATTTAACTTAACATAATTGAATTTTGATTTATTTTAGTTTAATATAATTTAATATCAATTTATTAAAATCAATGTCATTGCATATCATTCAATTTCAATTTAATTTTTATTTAATTTATTACATGAGAATTTATTTAATGTTATTTAACTTATTCAATTTAGCTTACTTCATTTACATTTTTTTAAAGATTTATTTATTCATGCATACAAGAACTGGGGTAGAGGCCAGATCCACAGGAGGGTGAGAGGATTCACCAGAGACAGAGCGGGGAACAGAACAGGCCGACTGACTGAAATACACTGCTGAGGGGAGCAGTGGGTGAGACAGGCGAGGTCTGCTATATGCCATGTCGGATTCTCGCCAGCCAGCTGGGATGGAACCTGTGCTACAGAGGCTGTGGACAGCTCCACAGTGCTGTGCTCAACTGTCTGCACCATCAGGGGAAGCCCTTCATTTACTTTTTAATTCAAATTCACCTTAATGCATTAAAGTAATGAAAAAAATTTTAAATAATTAAATTGGATTAAATAAATTTAAATTTAATAGCTATATTTTTGAAATGTGTTATTAACTTTAGTATGACTTAATTAAGAAAAAGCAGTGAGAAATTAACCACATTATGAATCAAAAAGGAGCCACCAGTACAGATCCTATAGGTATTCAAAAGAAAATATTATTCACATATACAACTACTTAAATAAAATGGATGAATTCCTTGAAAAAGTCAGGTAACAAAAATTTAACACATAAAGAAATAGAAAATGAGTAATGACATCACAATAAAATTGTTTCAATTTCTAATTAAAAACCACCCCACAGAGAAAAACCCCAAGTCCAGAGAGCTTCAATTGTAAATTATGTCAAATATTAAAGAAGAAAAAAAGCAACAATATACAAAGTCTTTGAGAAAATAGAAGAATGAATACATCTCTTTTTGGGACTCTTTTCTCTGATACCAAACCTGCGGCGCCCCCTCCCGCGGCAGAACTCAAGTGATAAGTCCTTGATGTTCGGCGCGGTCAAGGCACCGAGCACACAGGAGGAACGCCTCAAACCCCGAGAAGATTACTGCGGATAACATATCGAACCCCGAAAAGATTGCTCCTGATAGTTATGCTCATAATATGTTTACTTTTCTTGCGTAGCAATATAAGTAACCCTTTGTCTGTTCATTTCCTGACTCTTAAGACTGTATCTGGTGACGGTACTATTACTGAACTGTCCTCTGCTGACTTTTCTGGTCATGAGTTGTTCCTTGTTTCATGGAATTATTGTATGAAGTAATGGACAAATTTAAACATAATATTTCTCTGGTTAATGCTATAGTAATTATAAAAAACAATTACAAGATGTAGCTGGGAAACTTCCCCCAACAGTCAAGACCTCACTTAGAGATTTGTGTTATTGGAAAACGTCCATGGCAACCACTTCAAGGTAGTCCTGGAGAGAATGCAGTTACATAACCTACTGACGAGCCTACATTATATACTGGAACTTACCCAAATAGTAAAAGAATAGTTAATAAATTAACTAAAAGACATCTAATCTCAGGAACAGAATCAAAGAGTTAGGGTCGCCATGGGTTTCATATTTAGTGCATAGTAAAGCTAATATTTCAATATGGTTTTGGCTAGATCAAAAGAGTATTAGAAGTCTATGATGTAGAAACACGTTGTCAGGGAAATCAAGGCACTTGTATAGAACAAGAAAAACAGGTTTGGAAATAATGTAGCCATAGTTACACCTCATATATGGTTAACCACTTACGCTTAGTTTCTTGTAATCATTATTTAAAAATTTGTACCTTGCTATGGAACACTGCACACATCTTTTATGAAAAACAAGAAAATATATCACTTATGTCATTTATGATGGATATCATCTTTTGTTGATCTTATGTAATCTAATGCTGTTTGAAAATGTATAAAAATGCATAATGATTTGAGCACATTACAGTCAGATATTCACTCCTGAAGTGTGTCTGTCATTTATGCGCCGAATCCTTGACCACCCTGCACAGTTTCTCATCCCTGAGTCGGCCTTGCTAGTCTACCGCTGCGCTGGTCCGCGGCAAAACAAGATCAATATATTTCCTGGGCCTCCCTGGTGGCGCAGCGGTTGAGCGCTGGGTTGCGAAGCTGCCCCCAGCCTCTGCAGGGCCGGTTCGATCCCCGGCTGCTCCCCGGCCACCAGAGGAGGGTCCCACATGGCGCGCAGACCTCTCCTGCCGCCCGCTGCTCCCCTCAGCAGTGTACTTCGGTCCTTCTGCCTGCTCTGCTCCCCGCTCTGGCTCTGGTGAATTCTCTCACCTTCCCGCGCTTCTGACTGTACCCAGTGCTTGTATGTATGTATGTATAAATCAATCAATCAATCAATCAATAAATAAATCTTTAAAAAAAAAATCAATATATTCCCTGATCATAGATGCTCAAAATTTGAGGAATGATCTCCAAGAGATTATCTTAGTTTCTGATGTTTCTGTAGAGTTTAAGGTTCCCCAAAACTATGATTACTTCTGATCAACTGTAAGTTTAGGCGTCCTCAACTAATCTTCTAGACTCATAGAATTCATTGAAAGCTGTTGTCCTGTTATCACAGTGAGAGGATACCAGATTAAAATCAGCCATGGGACAGAGTCCTGGCTTCCAAGGCAGAGCTTCCAGTTATCCTCCCATTAAGGAGTCACGGACAGTGTTAGCTGCTTCTATTGACTGTATGTATACAGTATACTGTATGTATACACATGGAGAATTGTCAACCAGGGAAACTCACCCAGACCTTTGTACTTAGTCTTTTTTTTTTTTTTTTTAAAGATTTATTTATTTATTTATACAAGCACTGGGTACAGTCAGAAGCGCGGGAGGGTGAGAGAATTCACCAGAGCCAGAGCGGAGAGCAGAACAGGCAGACTGACGAAGTACACTGCTGAGGGGAGCAGCGGGCAGCAGGAGAGGTCTGCGCGCCATGTGGGACCCTCCTCTGGTGGCTGGGGAGCAGCCGGGGATCGAACTGGTGCTGCAGAGGCAGCAGGCAGCTTTGCAACCCAGCGCTCAACCGCTGCGCCACTGGGGAGGCCCTGTACTTAGTCTTTATGGAGTTTCAAAACAAAGATGTCACTTGCTGCCCATGTGCTTGATTTCAGTTTCCAATCCCCCAAAGGTCAAGTTAATGTCATCCTATCTAAAGCCCTCACCCTAAATCACATTGTTAGTCTTTGTAGCATGACCAGTCCCCACACTACAGCATGTTGTTACACTATCCAGTAACCAAAACCTCCAGGAATGCAGACATTCTTGTTGGGCCTGACACTAGATGGCTTTAGTATTACCTCCCAGAAACCAAGGAGGAAAGACCTCTCTCTGGGCAGAAGTCGTTAACAAAATGTGGGCAAATTGAATCCTGCAACTTCTAAAAAGACGATGAGCAAAATGTATTTGTGCCAAGAATTATATTCTAGGAGTTCATGATTGGTTTAATAGTTGAAAAATTGCAGGGGAACAGTTATATCATGACATCCTGATATCTCCACAGAGGCCAAGTAAGCAAAGCTTAAGTGTTATTTGAATCTTAGTGGAAAGCCCTGGATTCCCCCAAAACCAAGACAATCAGTCCTGTAGAAATAGACAAAAGGTAGTCTCTCACCCACCTCCCCAATTTCAGTTGAGCACAAAGGCTTTCCACATCAACTTCCCTTTGAATATAACCACAGGCTATGGAAGCATTTGACTGCAGTTTAGAGCTGACCCTTCTGGAAAAGAGAAGTCACCACCTGTGTTACCCGTTATCTGACTCCTCTGGTTTAGTGTGATCTGTGGGACAAATCTGTAGTTGGTTGCTGGTTGACCCTTCACATTCACCAGGAAATCTCTTAAGTCTCTGGAAAGTTTAAGCTACCCCATGGTATTGCTTCTTCCACATTCATTTTGTTTGACTAAGTTCTTTACAGGGATCTTAAGCTGACACTAGTTCCCTCGTGCAAGTGCTTGCCCTTGATAGCAGTGGCAGGGTCAGGGCCTGATATGACTTTCCCAATAGCTCCTGTGAGTGAGTCTTCCCTAGTTCCCAGTGCCTGTATACCTTATGTGCCTCTTAGGTAGGACCCACATGGGGTTTGCCAAACCCTTTCTTTTAGTTTGAATTGATCAGTTTGGCCCTAGCCTGGAAATCCCAAAGAACTCCACTCCAAAGCAGAAGTCCCTGTCATGACTGTCTGTTTATACTTTGCCTTGACCTCCCCAGGGCCCTGGAGGGATGCCTATTGCTTCCTCTAGGACTTGTAATAAATTTCACTATTTCTTTTGTGGTTTGTTATTGAACTGGGTGGGTCACTACTGGCACTCTGTATCCCAACAATTAGTTAGTTGTGACTAGCTAATTATAACTCGTTAGGTAGTCACAACTAGTTACTGGTGACTAGTCGGTGGTGACAAGTTAGTTGCCACCAGTTATGACTAGTTAGTAAGAAATAGTTAATCACAACTAGCTGGTTGTGGCTAATTAAGACTCATTAACCACAAGTAGTTAGTTGTGACTGAATATGACTAGTTAATGACAACTAGTTAGTTATGATTAGCTCTGATTAGTTAACTATAACTAGTAAGTTGCCACTATTTAATTATGACTAGTTAATCACATTTTATTGACAGGCATTTTGGTTGTTTCCATTTTTTGGTGGTTATGAATAAACTGCTATCAATATTTGCTTACAATTTCTTGGTGTGAACAAAAATTTTCATTTTTCCTCAGTAAATAAATATCTAAGAGGGATTAGAGGATGATATGGTATGACATGTATAGTTTTCGGCATATCTAGGATGATATGATATGGTATGTATATGTCTAGTTTTTTTAATTGCTACACTTTTCCAAAGTGACTAACAAGTTTTACTAGCAATGTATTTTCTTTTGTTTATCTCATTGTGATTCTTAAAAACAACTTTATTGAGATATAATTTACATGTCATAAATTTCTCCCTTTTAAAGTGTACAATTCAGGGCCTTCCCTGGTGGCACAGCAGTTGAGCACTGAGGCTGCGAAGCTGCCCGCAGCCTCTGCAGCGCCGGTTCGATCCCCAGCTGTTCCCCGGCCACCGGAGGAGGGCCCACATGGCGCACCCGCTGCTCCCCTCAGCAGTGTATTTCGTCAGTCTGCCTGATCTGTTCCCCACTCTGGCTCTGGTGAATTCTCTCACCCTCCCGCGCTTCTGACTGTACCCACTGCTTGTACAAATAAATAAATAAATCTTTAAAATAAAAAAAATAAAATAAAGTGTACAATTCAGTGGTTTTTGGTATATTCACAGTTATGCAACAATCACCACAATTTAGAACATTTTAGAACAATTTAGAACATTTTAGAACAATTTAGAACATTTTCATTACCTCCAAAAGGAACCTCTGTCTGTCAGTAGTCACTCTTCATTTCTCTCAACTTCACCTCCATTCCTAGGGAATCACAAATCTGCTTTTTGTTTTTCTATATTTGCTTAGACTGGACATTTCCTTTTAATGGAATCATATAGTTATACAATTATGCTTCTTAGCATCATTTCAAGCTTCATTCATGTGAAAGTACTTCATTCCTTTTTATGGCCTAACTATTTCGTTGTTTGGACATACCACATTTATTCATTCATTGACAGACATTAGATTGTTTCCTTTTTTTCTGCAATAATAAAAAAATGCTGCCATGAACATTTTGCACAAGATTTTGCATGGAACATACGGTTTTATTACTCTTGGGTATATACCTAGGAATGGAATTGCTGGGTCCTTGGTAACTCTATTTAATCATTTGATGAACAGCAAGCTCTTTTCCAAATTGGCTGCATCACTTTATAGTCCCACCAGTAATGCATGGGATAATTCGTGCTGCACACACTGCAGTGACTAAATCAGTATCTTTGTAATTGCATTACATGCAGATGGAGGGTTTCTGGACTACAAATACTGACTCTATGGAAACAGGACTTTGGGGGCTTACTCCAACAGTTTACAGCGCTAGGTAGAACCAATCCACAGTCTGGCAAGCAAGCACTCCTCCAGTTCTTTCCACCACCACGGTCCTTCCAGTCATCTTTCCACACTCCCTCCATTTTCCAAGTCTGTAGAGTCAGCTTCCCCACGCCACTCTAAGGGTTGAACTGAAAACAAAGCTGGAGAAGGCCAAGGGAAAACAGACACAAGGGCCTGCCCGTTCACCACATTCTACAGCCCCTACTCCAAAGAATGCAGAACTTGTTCCATACCTCAAACTGGTTAATGGTGGGCTCAGAACCCCTGTCTCCTGCCTCTGAGCCTGGTATCTCCCGGGACAGATACATCCCCTGCCAAGTGGACAGTTCACACGTGTGTCTTGGAGACTGAAGGGTCTTCAATGAACCCGAAGAATGATTTTCCAAAGACATAGATATTAATATCGTATATATATATATAATACAGTACAGGCTGGCTCCTTGGCCATCGGTTAGGCAGTCAAATCTTACTACATAACAAATCACGCACCCCACAAAATGGGAACTGCGGTCCAGCTGGATGGGGTTAAACACATGTGGGCGGAGAAAGAGGGAGAAATCGCCCCCAACGCCCGCGTTTTACCGTGATCACTATGTTTCGAGCGGCTCCCTTCATGTCCTCGCTGTAGGACGCCTGACCCTCTATTCTTGCGCTGGGTCTGGGAAGAGATACCTTTGCCATAAAGGAACGGAAGTGGGTTCTGTCGCCATGGGAACCAAAAATGCTGGGATGCGCGACTTCCTTTGGGGTTCAATTGCTGAGGGTGCGCAGAACGCACCTCACCATTGGTCACGCCCCCAGAACTGGTTGCTGTGGGATTCTGCTGCCTAGGTTAGAAGGAAAAGGTGGACTCAGGAAATAGTTTCCTGTGCGAAACTAATGATGTCGGTGGAGAGGGGATATGAAATCAAACAATTTCAGAAAAATTTGACAGTATTTTGTGAATAAAAGGGGAATGCAAATTCCAGAAAAATCTGACCAAATCTGAAGGGGTCAAGGAAGATTGCCTGCAGAGGAAATTATTGAGCTAAATTTCGAAAGATGATTCATGATTCAGAATTACTCAGAGGATAAAAGGGGTCTGTGGTCTGACGGATAGTGTAGACAGAAGAACATCGTGAAACAAGAGGTGAAGGTGTCAAACAGCGTGCAGAGTGGGGTTGGAAATGGCAACTACCCCAAAGGGCTGTTCCTGTGCAAACAACTGCCCAGGAAGAAAGGCTGAGAGCTGAGGCTGGTGAGGTAGACAGGAACAAGGATATGTGGACTTGTAGGCCAAGCCAAGGAATCTGGGCTTTCTTTCAAGACTTTAGGGAGTCACGCAGGCACTTTTGTCAGGGAAGCTTTGAGTCCTGCCTCAATCTCCTTATTCACCCCTAACCGTGGTGTCTCAAGCTGTGCCTGATCTGGTTCCCTTCCTGTCAGCAGAACTCCAATTCTGATCCTGTTATTATTTGCAATAACAAATTACAAGCAATAACAAATCTGAGTTGTGATGGTTCTTAAGATGATGTTGGTGGTCTCAGCTCTCAATCTGTCAGGAACATGTGTGGGACTAGCCAGGTGGAAGGGCATGACCAGGAGCTCAACAAGGTCTGAACTACACAATAGTGGGTTCAGATAGTGGGTCAGACAACCCAGACATTCCACTTTAGAGGATAATTTTTTTTTTTTTTGCAATGAGATGTACTGGCATAATGAATGGTGTATTGATATGCTCTGATCCTTTTTAAGGCGGCATCATTCCAGCTGCAGGTAGTGTTACTAGTAGAAAGTTCCACTTGTCAACTCTCTTCTGAATTGCCTAGACTGAAGAGAGTTGACTCACCAGAAGTCACACCCCTGTCCTAGATAACTCATATCCAATAACTCAGCAGAGATTTGAGATATAAAGCCATCTCTCTTTGCCTCAATCCCAGATAATTCTGGAGAGTTGTCCTAGCTTCACAACTGGATTGAGGGCTTCACAGAGTCTGTGTTGATATTCACTAACTCATTCTGCCTAATCCTACTTCCTTCCACTGGTGGTGATTCCATGGACAAGACTGAGAAAACTTCTGGAGCAAGCAGTTATTTTTATTCATGTATTCTTTTTTTTTTTTTTTAAGATTTATTCATTTATTTATTTATTTATGCAAGCAAGCAAGCACTGGGTACAGTCAGAAGCGCGGGAGGGTGAGAGAATTCACCAGAGCCAGAGCGGGGAGCAGAGCAGGAAGAAGGACCAAAGTACACTGCTGAGGGGAGCAGCGGGCGGCAGGAGAGGTCTGCACACCATGTGGGACCCTCCTCCGGTGGCCGGGGAGCAGCCGGGGATTGAACCGGCGCTGCAGAGGCCGCGGGCAGCTTCGCAACCCAGCGCTCAACCGCTGCGCCACCGGGGAGGCCCTCATGTATTCTTTTTTTTAAACAAACCAGTGCTCCATTGCTAGTCAGTTTAAGCCCTTGAAACATGTTTTTTCCCCACTCTCTAGTTTCTAATGCACAAGCTTCAGTCACTCCAATCACTATTCCCCTCCATATGTTGTTTTTTCTCTGCTTTCAATAATCTTTCTTTACCTTTGGTTTTGGGAGTTTAACTATGATGTATTTGGGCATAATTATCTTTTAGATTATCCTATTTGTGATTCATTGAGTTTTTTTTAAAGATTTATTTATTTATGCATAAAAGAACAGGGGTACAGGTCAGAGATGTGGCGGGGGAGGTGAGAGGATTCACCAGAGACAGAGTGGGGAGCAGAACAGGTAGACTAACTGAAATACACTGCTGAGGGGAGCAGCAGGCGAGTCAGGAGAGGTCTGCTACGCCATGTGGGTCACCTCCCCGGCTGGCCGGGGAATCGAACTCATGCTGCAGTGGCTGTGCACAGCTTCATAGGTTGGTCTTAACCCCTTGCGCCATCAGGGAGGTCCCTCATTGAGTTTTTTGAACATATAAATTGATGTCTTCCATCAAATTTAAGAATTTCCAGCCACTGTTTCTTTGAATATATCTTTTCAGTACCAATATCATTCTTTTTCTCCTGAGAATCCAATAACATGAAAGTTATACACTTTATTTTGCTCTGAAGGCCAGTAGGACTCTGATAATTATTTCTCAATTTTGTATTTCTCTATTGCTCAGATTATATAATTTCTATTGATTTATCTTTAAAAGTTCCTGATCTCTTCTCTTTGTTAACTCCATTCTGCTATTGAGTTAAGCTAGTGATTCAGTTTTATATAAATTCAGTTTTTGTATTCTTCAATGTAAAAATTTCTATTTGGTTATTTTAACAGCTTTAATGTCTCTGAAAATTTCTATTTTTCCACTCATTTTAAGAGTATTTGCCTTTACTTCATGGAAGATGATTATATGGTTGCTTTTCGAGGCACTGTATCATGTACTCATGTGTATATTCTTTTTTTTAAAGATTTATTTATTTATGCATACAAGAGCCGGGGTACAGGCCAGAGATGCAGGGGGTGAGAGGATTCACCAGAGACAGAATGGGGAACAGAATAGGCAGAGTGACTGAAGTATACTGCTGAGGGGAGCAGCAGGCCAGACATGAGAGGTCTGCTGCGTGGGGATCAAACTCATGCTGCAGAGACTGCGGATAGCTTCACAGTGCTGTGTTTAACCCCTTGTGCCACTAGGGAGGCCCTCATATGTATATTCTTATCAAGACATAAAGATAGATCTGATGTGCATACATGCTTATGGCTATAATTTCTGTAAATTAATAATCACCAAATTCTTTTAAATATGCCCATTTGAAGATTCCATGTATGTATTTATCCATTACCCAAATTGTTTCTCTAGTTATTCACCCCCAAAATCTTACCACTCACTTGCTTTCTTTTCCTCTAATATTTAGCTTTTCTCTCTCACTTTGTTTTCTCCCCACAGTTGTTTTTCTTGCAAATGCACTTCAGTAAAATACTCATTTTCATTTACTGCTAATGGTTTATTCATGTAGTCTTAAAAAATGCACTTCAGTAAAATACTCAAGAAAGTAAAGGTCATCTGGTTTTCAGGAGGGTTTCCTCACAGGACTGTTCCTTTCCTTCAGACACCTGAAGGGTGAGGGCTCCGGGGAAAGAGAGAGAGGGACACTCCTGCCCAGATAACAGGCTCTAGAGAGCTTAGAACTGGAGGTAAAATTTGGAAAGGAGAGAAAAAGGGGACTGGCAAAAGCGTGGCTCAAATAAGGCAGCAGGGAGAGCCTGGTTTTGTCGCCAGGGTCAGAGGTTACACTGATCTATGAATGCCCTAGGAAGCCTGGTTGGGTGAGTGAAAAGGGCTTGTAGAAATGGGAAGCCTCGGGGATCCCATCTGCATCATTCACTGTAGTGGAGGGTGTGATCTCACCCTAGCGTTTTCCTGCCTCGGTTGCAGAATGGTAACTTGAAAGTGGTAAAATGAAGATCAAAGGCATGAAAAGGTGAAAGATCATGAGCAGAAAATTCACCAAGAGGCTTTACTGAGAACCCAAAGCAGACATCAGAAAAACTGGCCATGGAAAACAATGCTAAAAGCAAAAGGATTAGTCAAGGACAATTAATTGTATTGGATGATTTATGGACTGGATGATTAATTGATCAGAGCCAGAAGAAGGCTTATTTTTTAAAATTCTGGGGGGAAAGAGGTTAATTGCATAGTACACAAAAGGCAGAATTTAATGGGCAAAGACCTGGACAAAGTGGGGAGATTGATTTTTAAGGGGATGATGTCTACCTCTCACTGAAAGTAGGTGGGGGCAGGAAAGGGGGCTCAGTGGGTTTATCCCTGGAAGTCTGATTGTGTCCCCCATAAATATATCTATCTTATCTTTAAAATCAAATCCAAGACAACTTCTGGACTTGAAGGGGCTGGATTTAAGTGGAAGGGGAGACTGGAAAGATAATGTTGTACTGCCCCCTACCTTTTTATATATTTGAGCCCACTTGATTTGGGTGTGTCTCCAAGAGTGTATAGTTGAAATGTTGAGTTTTTGAAAAATCTGAGACTCTATCCTATTGAGAATGAAATCCATTTATTTACATTGTGATAGTTCACAGATCAACGTCAGAAGTTGGTGAAAGATTCAGGCCTCAGGGAGCATTTACACATGCCTGGATATGGGAATGAGGCAGAAGGTTTGAGGCAGGTTTGTGGCAGAGGTTGGGTCTCATGGAAGCTAGAAGAGGGAAGTGACCAAGCCACCTGAGAATTAAATAGATTTCAGAGATTACAGGCCTCTAGGGAGCAAGGGTTTGGATATCTATTTCTTGCTTTCAAGGTCACTTCTATTACTATTTTATTTTTTTTTTTAAGATTTATTTATTTATTTATACAAGCACTGGGTACAGTCAGAAGCGCGGGAGGGTGAGAGAATTCACCAGAGCCAGAGCGGAGAGCAGAACAAGCAGACTGACGAAGTACACTGCTGAGGGTAGCAGCGGGCGGCAGGAGAAGTCAGCCTCGCCATGTGGGACCCTTGCTGGCCGGCCGGGATTGAACCGGCACTGCAGAGGCTGTGGACAGCTTCACAGCACTGGCTCAACCGCCTGCGCCACCAGGGGAGGCCCTCCTGCCTGCATTTAAACACATGTAAGGAGTGATGATTGTGCCTTAAACAGGCTCCTGTGTGTTCCCCCTTTGAAGGGAGAATCCCATATTGCAGCCCAGGAAACCACTTCTGGGACACAATAGTCTGGTGTCAAGGTGTGTATA